TTGAAACTGTTAAAGAACAGAACGTAAGCGTCCGGAGACATCTCAGGCTGAGTTATGGAACAAGAGAGAGTGTTAAGAGTGTGATGAGAGAGAAGTGTTTTAAGAGTTTATGAAGAAGGTATGAAGTGTTGTTGCATGGGAAGAGAGTTTAAATAGATGTGATTTACTAGTTGTGTCATTGATATTTTTAACTAATTAATAGGTTCTAAATAAAATTAATAGTAAATTAAAGGTTTTAAAATTGTATTTGCATTGAAGGTAACGGGCAAGTCAATGGCTTTTAGCTTAATGGTGGAGCGAATTTTGATGTAGCTGTTTCTTTTTTTTGTTATTTACTAAACTTTTTGAAAATCGCCACATTTATATTCAGTATAATAAAATAAATTATTAGTACTATATTTTTAAGCTAATTTTTGGTATTCGTTTGAAAGTAAGAAAATGAATTTATTTTTTCTAAGGGTTTTCGAAAATATATATATATATATATATATATATATATATATATCAGACAGAGTATAGTGTGATTCATATGGTTTGTGCGGAGATTTGAAAGCCAAAAAATTGGTATGTTTTTACACAATAATTGGCAAATTGTAGTTGTGTCATGCATAAAATATTGCAACGAAGTCAAGATATTTTCCTATCACGTATAAACACTGTGTTTTTTTTTTTTTTGGTTATGTTGGAAATACTTCACACTTGGATAAACTTTTATTACTAGAACTAGTAATCTATTATAGCTAGCACTTAGCAGTAACATTTAACATCAGTGGATAATATCAACCTCCCATTAAAGCAGCTATTCTAGAGTACTGTATAATATAATAATCAGAAAAGTTTAAGATTCACCGGCTCTCCTGACACAAATTAAAACTAAATGGGTGGAGTTAATTAACCAATATTTCATTGTTAGTGTTTAAAAAAAAAAAAAAAGGAGAAACTATGCTAAAGAAGAATCCGATATCAGAATCGCACACAGCCGTCTTTGCCACTATTACCAAAGCTATTAATTGTACGGATTTATTCATATTTTAGTCTGGCTTACTAATTTTTTTATATATATAATTTTTGAAACTTTTTGGTGGTGAGGACGATTTATTCACAAGTCTTCTTTCACTTTTCTTTTGGTTTAGAATTAAATCAAATTATTCTCGCTAATTCGTATTCACTATTCCATTCAAACTTGTTATATGATTTTTTTTCCAACACCTACTAAAAAAGTGGGAGAACAGAATTGTAACTTGTGTATTACTGCACTCATATAAATATGTGTGTAATATAGAACAGAACTGGTAGTAATGCTTCTTTGTTAGACTCATAAATATGTTAGTGCAATAATAACAGAACTGGTAGTTGTAGTAATGCTTTTTTTAGCTTTCTGTAACTTACTTTACACTCCTAATAAATACACAGTGAGTTTAAGAGATCAAACGGTGCAGTTAATACACATCTGCAGCGTGCTCACATGACGAACAGAACCAAACAAAAGAAGAAAAGAAAAGGTTCTGATCGTTATGGCTAAGCATTGGAGCATCTCAAATGTTCGAGGCTTTCTTTCTTTTCTTTTTTTTTTTTTAAATTTTCACGATTCGGCTTTATTGAGAAACCAGAAAAGATAAGAACCGAGTTAAGATTACAAGACACGTGGAAGGAGTCAAATCAATAGTAAAGTCAATATCAGTATCATAATTGAAGAAGAAGATCTTTGCCGTGTGATCTTTAACTTGAAGAACCCTCCCGTGGCCACCCTCGTAAATCTTTCTTTACTCACACTGTTGTTGTTGTGAAGCTCTCTTTTCATATTTTTACATTTTACAAGTTGTACAAAGATTGAAATGAATTTTATATACGCACTTGTACTAGGATTTACGTAGAATAAATAATATAGTAAAAATTCTAAGGGGGGGGAGACAAAGGGCAGTGATGATTAAGAAAATACAGGGAAGCAAGCAAGTGAAGTAGAAAGCTGACATTAGTATACGTAAAGTGTCTGTGATGTGTTGTGGTCTATATGGTCTATACTGGGTAGTGTAGTGGCTTAGGCCTGCTACTTTCTACTGCTTCTATATTTACTGTTTCGTATTTCTTTTTCCTTTTCATTTACTTTACTTGACAGCGAAACCCAAATTCCCTTTCACATTTATGTGCTTGTGTAAATCTTCTTCACGAGCAGCTCATATATGATATCTAATTCATGCATGTTGACCTATTAAACATTATTATTATGCTATCTTCTGCTATAAAAAAAAGTGATAACCTATGCTTTGTATATCGATTCACAGTTTTATGTTCCACCTGACCAAATAATACTATTTGATTATAATCTTGTTTATACTAACTTAATCAGTTGACCAATAGTTACTGTAGTTTGACTAGATATATCAACTAGCAAAAACCTGAAGTGTTTATAGTTTTTTTTCACCGTTAAAACAAAAGTATACTATTATATACTACTTAATACTTCAGTTAGAACTTCACAATCCTAGTAATATATGTAGCAAAACCAACTCAGCCCAAATCATGATATTTATTTTGTCACCGAATATCTGATAATGTCACCGAATATCTGATAATGTTTTTGAATATCTGATAATATTTTGTCACCGAATATCTGATATATGGTAGACTTTTACTTACATGGATTTTTTTTCTTTTTTCAAAGACAAAAACATGAGTACTTTTTAACAAAACACAATTAAAAAAGCAATTATCTAACAGTATTTTTAATCAATATGAATCAAAAACATGAAGTACCAAATCAAGCAATTATTTTTTGTTTACTTTTCGAAATTAAGATAATTACCACGTAAAGGATCACAAGATCCAAGCCGACAACTAAAACATCGCAACAACTTAAACATCGCCGAGCTTGAATAAATTGGCCAGATGCAAGTCTTACATATTTTTTGAATGATTCATCCCCTTGCCTATGATAACTAGCCCAAATCTTATCTTAAAGTGAAAACAAGTAGTCTTATTTGGTTTCTAACTCATGTAATGTAGTTTGTACTCTCTCTTTTTTTTTTCAAAACAAAATCATGAAATTATTTGATCAATTGCATTCATATGTAGCATAAAGTAGGCATAAAACTATAATTTCAACTTGATATTCAACTTGTGAAGGATAAAACACCGTATATCAAAACAATATTAAGAACATTTTTTGTACCTCACAAGTCACAGCCATCTCATCTCATATGATATACTACATGCACTTTTACATCATTTCTATCATATTCCAGTGATTAATATAATATCAGTTTGAATCCATGATACTAAATGTTTGAGTATATGTAAGTGAAAGTACTTATAGACCTATTAATGATAATTGTTTGATAATTTCAAAAAAATTGAGATATTTTTTTTCAACGAAATTTGTAGCTCTGAAATATCAAGAGTTGAAATTAACCTACTAATATAATATGATCACTAAATGATTTTATTGTTTTTATCATTCTATATACTAAGTATCAATTGACACATATTTTCACATTTAGAGTTTTCGTAGAATTAGAGTTTAAATAAGTATCATGAACATGAGTACTTTAAACAAAACACAATTAAAAAAAGCAATTATCTAGCAGTACTTTTAATCAATATGAATCAAAACATGAAGTACCAAATCAAGCAATTATTTTTTGTTTGCTTTTTGTGATCACAAAGCTTCTCAAGATCCAAGTCAGCAACTAAGACATCGCTGAGCTTGAATAAGTTGGCCAGATGCAAGTCTTACATATTTTTTGAATGATTCATCCCCTTGCCTATGATAACTAGTCCAACTCTTATCTTAAAGTGATTACAAGTGGTCTTATTTGGTTTCTAACTCATGTAATGTAGTTTGTACTCTTTTTTTTCCAAAACAAAATCATGAAATTGTTTGATCAATTGCATTCATATGTAGCATAAAGTAGGCATAAAACTATAATTTCAACTTGATATTCAACTTGTGAAGGATAAAAATACCGTATATCAAAATAATATTAAGAACATTTTTTGTACCTCACAAGTCACAGCCATCTCATCTCATATGATATACTACATGCACTTTTACATCATTCCTATCATATTCAAGTGATTAATATAATATCAGTTTGAATCCATGATACTAAATGTTTGAGTATATCTAAGTGAAAGTACTTATAGACCTATCAATGATAATTGTTTGATAATTTCAAACAAATTGAGATATTTTTTTTCAACAAAATTTGTAACTCTGTAATATCAAAAGTTGAAATTAACCTACTAATATAATATGATCACTAAATAATTTTATTGTTTTTATCATTCTATATGGTAAGTATCAATTGACACATATTTTTACATTTAGAGTTGTAGTAGAATTAGAGTTTAAATATAGTTTTTCAAATAGTTATTATAATTTTGCCTAAATTATAATAAAAATTCATATTTATGTGTATTTTTAATTAATAAAATAATTGATACAGTTTTAGAAACTAGTTGAAATAGTTGATAGACTTTGACCTACAATTACATACCTATGCGGAACTCCATGTATGACCTTTGAACACTGTGAAGTAGTTTAAATGGAAAGTAGCATGTTTTTTTTTATATGTATTAGAAAACATCAGGAGTATTTTTCACTACTGACAGCTGTTATTTTTGTGTGGGTAAAATGGATTTTAAAAGTAAAGCATAGGAATAAACATGTAAGAACAAAAAAGAAAGGAAGTGAAAAGTAAGAGGCCAATCATGTCAATGTCTGTCTAGACAACGAGACTTCATACCTTTAACAAGCAAAAAGACTAGTTCGGTTCGAACATAACCAGAGTGATATCATTCTCTTTAGTCTTTATCATCTTTTTGTGTTTCCCCTTCCCCTTGTTTGGTATGTAGTTAAGGATATGGATTGGGTATTTCGTATTCTTTTTTTTCCTTTTAAATCAATTATGTCGAAACTATATATCGATAGATAATTCTCATTCTATTCGATAAATAGATATACTTTACAAAAAGAATTTGTTTGTTAGATGACAAAAAAAAAAAGAATTTGTTTGTTACATTTAAAATTATTAAATTTTGCTACGGTTTCGTTTTAATTATAAATAAACAAAACAGTTATATTTATCTAATAGTGTATCCGGTCACCACATTACGGTAGATCACTGTAGTTACATGCGACTTCATTTTGTTCAGTGACTTCACTTGAGACACTCACAAGTCACAGGTTCGTGGACGTTGCAGAATCCCAAGTTTCGTTTGAGAGATCACTCATCACTACATCAGTTAAAAGTTATTTGTATCATATAATGCTATTATTTACCCAAAAATATATGGAGCCATAAAATCTCATTAGTAAAAATTAAAAATTTGGAGAGAATATGTTTTTATTGATTTATATTTATATTTTATTTCACTATATATATAAATAATTTTGTTTTTATTGGAGATAGTTACAATATTACTTTAACAAATCCCAAAGTTTATGCACAATGCTTACATTTGAGACATTCACACACTCCTTGAGCCGTGTTGCAGAATCCACCTCTGCCTGGACATTTTAAATTACACTCAAGATCTCTACTGCAGTGAAGAACATTATCCATCTGTTCATTACAAATGCATGCTCCTAGCTTACATCTTGCTCCCAGATTACATTTTCCATGACAATCAATTTCCCTTTGACATTGATCACTGAGGGGTGTTGCTCCAGCCTCAATACAACTCACAAGACCTTGTCCTATGCCCACAGAAAAAACATCAAAACTTTATATTTAAGACATTCAAAGCCCATCTTTACTCAAAATATGGAATGCAATGTACATGTATGTACTTACCAAAGCTAGTGAATAGAAACGAAACCAGTAACATAAGCGAAAACTTGTTCATTCTAAAAGTGGTTTAACAAATTTTGATATCAACGTTAGGATTTAATTATATACACAAGTCTGAATCTTGTGAGAAAAAGAGACTAGTGAGAGTTTAATAAGATAGTTATTTGACATGTGTAAATTACATAATAATAGCAAATGAAATAATATGTTGTAGGCTTTGTAACTCAAAGAGAACAAATGTCAAAAATCGAATCCAGTTCATTTTATTAAATCTGACATATATCCTCTTTTAAGATTTTATATAACCACAATTTCCTCTTTTAGTCACAAAATATTTAATACTTGTTATATCAATCAGATTTTATCCAAGTTAATTTCAGAATCCAACCATAAATGTTTTTATTATTCAACGACTATTATAACTTCTATTCCATTCTATATGTTATGCATCACTTTTAATTATATTTAGATTAAAAAATTAAAACTGATGATTTCAATTTTAAAATGGGAAAAATGTAAACCAGGCAAAATATTAATGTATTCTCTCTATCTTTCTTCTTTAGAAATCCTTTTTAATTGTTAAAAGAAAGAGAAAAAATCAGGATGATGTCTAATTCCAATTATACTTTAACAGTTAGTATATATATATTATATCTTACCAACAATTTCAAAAGCCTCCGTAGCATAGTGGTATTGCGTTCGCTTCGTAAGCGAAAGGCCGCGAGTTCGATCCTCGCCGGGGGCTTTTCTTCTATCTCTTTTTATCCTTTTGTTTTGATTTTTTTTTCCCTCAATTCTTAGCCACAAATTTTTCCTATACTCACAAATCAGAAATCACAATACAAATCTACCAAAAAAACATTTCTGAAGGAAAATTTCCCTCCTTATCACATAATAAGGGACAATAGTGGAAAAAAATCTGTAGAATAAGAAAAGTCCCCCCAATTCTCGTCGGAGATTTCTAAGTAAAACCCTAGAAGAAGAAGACACCTTATATATATATATTTTTTTATTTTATATTCATCCCTCCCTCCCTCCCTCCTGTGTCCTTCGTTACTCTGTCTCTCTCTCTCTTTTCTTCGAACTGATCTGAGATTTTGATTCTGCTTCTCTCTTCTCATCTTCCAAGGTAATTGCTTTTGTCTACCAATTCCTTTTATCTTTCTCACTTTTTTCAATTGTTCTTCCTTTTGGGTTTCGTCTCTCTGCCTTAAAGTTTTCTCCTTTCTGTTGGAATCCTCTGTTAAAGGTTGAGCCTTTTTTTTTTTTACATTTGTCGCAAGTGTAGTTTCGTTATAGTAGATCTATAGAGTTCAATTTTATAGATTCACTAGTTATCTCTTGCTAAGCAGCTATATGATCTACTGAGATTTGTGAATGCCCTTTCGTGTAGTAGATTGGAATGAAAATATAGGGGCTTTAGTTTGATTCAGATGAAGCAAATTCATTACTTGTTTTCTGAGGCTGATAATGAATCTCTTTGATTAGTGTAGAGATGGCACTCGAATCAAATGCTCCTGTGGTGGATCCACACACTGTTGGCAATGCGTTTGTTCAGAAGTACTACAACCACTTGTATGAATCACCAGCGGAAGTGTATCAGTATTATCGTGAGGATAGTGTTTTTGGCCGCCCGGGTTCTGATGGAGAGATGGATTCTGTCAAGTCCTTACAGGTTAGCTACAATTTCGTTTAGATGAATTGAAAAAAAGTTCATTGTTTTGATTAGTGTTGTTGTATCTTCTGTGTTTCGTTTCTGAGTTCAAACTAATACAAATCTTCTTCATTGTACTTGGAAGCAAGGATTTATTTATTTATTTTGAGAGTTGTTTTAATCTTGTTTGCAGGCTATCAATGACAAGATCATGTCCTTTGATTACGAAAACTCTAAGATTCAGATTCTGACTGCCGATTCCCAAGCATCTTACAAGAATGGAGTTGTTACTCTAGTCACTGGTTTACTGACCGTGAAAGAGGGGGAAAGAAAGAGATTTTCTCAATCGTTTTTCCTTGTGCCCCAGAATGGAAGCTACTTTGTGCTGAACGATGTCTTTAGGTATGTCGCTGATGAGGTTGTTGAACCAGAAGCTAACAAGAAAGATGTCGAGGAGGTGATTCCTCAAGAGGTTCAGTCAACAGTCACTGTAGTGGGTAAGTATTGGTTTGTCAATCAAGAAAATCAAATTTACATTTCGGATTTCATAACAATATCATTTATGATCAGCAGAGCCAAGAACTGAAGTTGTGGAGCCAGTTACTATCCCTAGTCAACAACCCCCGTCAAAGCCGACAACTGAAAATACGATGAAGAAACCAGAAAGAGCTGTAGCAAATGGACATCCCAAAACCCGGGAGGAACAAGTTGTGAAGGATGACAGCAATGGCGTGGATGCTCCCAAAAAATCATACTCAGCAATGGTGAGTCCTCCTTGTATGTAAAATCCAATTCTCTTGCGCAATCTTGCTTAGATAATCTAAAGATTTTGCTACTTACGTGTAGGTCCAATCTTTGGCTCAAAACAATGAGAAATTCAATGTGAAAGCTTCTCCTGCAAAGCCTAAGCCTGTTACAAAGACCAGTGCTGCTCCCGAATCCAAAGCTCCTGCGCCTGTTCCTGGACACTCTTCTGCTGAAACAATCGACCAATCAGGTTTGAATTCGATGTTCTAAAATTTCAGGAAAACCAAAGAGTTACCACTTCATCTATGTCTTTAACATGATTTACTCATTTTCGTGTAGCAGCTGAGGGTGTAACCATATTTGTTGCAAACTTGCCTATGGACGCTCAACCTGAGCAACTCAATGAAACATTCAAAGGTTTTGGAACTATTAAGAAAGATGGTATCCAAGTTAGAAGTCACAGGGTGAGTTGTTATCGAATGAAATCTTTAGAGGAAACATGTTATGCTTTGTTTTTGTTTTTACCATAGAAACGTTTTCATTTTTCAGTTAAAGGGAAACTGTTTCGGGTTTGTGACATTTGAATCTATCGAAGCTATGAACTTGGTCCTCCAGGTATGTTTCAACATCAAGAAATTTCTTTTAAACTTTTGATTTATTGGATTCTCTTTTGATGTCCTGCTACGTAATTATAGGCGCACAAAGAATCAGCCATCAAAATTGGAAACCGAAGAGTTTCAATAGAAGAGAAACGAGGTAAGTTAAGAGTAAAGTTTAGTACTTTGTGACTATTGATTGTCTCCAAGATACCAACTTCAAAATAAAAAGACGGAAACACTTGATTCCTCTGCAGGCAACAACGAAAATGGAAGACCCTCAACGCGAAACGGAGGCTATAGGAGCGAGAACGGATACAGAAACGACGGGTTTAGGCCTCGAGGCAACGGTTATAATGGAGGTCGAGGGCATGGAAGAAATGGATATGAGAGAAGGGGAGAATCACACAACGGTGAATCTAACAACGGTGATGGCAAAGTCCACCACCAGAATGGTACAGTAAAACCTGTCCGTGAAAATGCTCAATCCAGAGGCTAAAAAAGTCGCAATCCCTTTCTTAAACTCTGGTGATGTGTTGTTGTTTATTGTTCGTTTGAAATTGAGAATCTGGAGTTTTATAGGAAAGAGAGAGAGAGAAAGAGAGAGAGAGAGAGTAGAAGCTTTTTTGGAGTAGTTTCATCTCTTTCCATGAAAGATTTTTGTTTTGGGATTATAATTTGATGATTACATTTATCTTTCCAATCTAAATCACTAACGAAGCCTTCGACTGGTCCGGTCCGGTCCGGTTTGCAAACCAAATTAACTTTGAGCAATTCAGACAAACAACAAACGACTAGAACTATTGCAACAGGAATGGGCAACCAACAATAAACTCATGGGCTTCAAATTGTAGTTTTTGCTCAGTAAGGTCTCTATTACACACACACACATGAACCAACGGGTGGGGAGCACGTAGCAATTTTTGTTTTGGTTTTTGTTTAGATTTCATTCTCCAACCTAACTATCACTCTATCAAAATTATACTATATAAGTTAGCTCATTCTCATTATGTTTTTTTTTTTGTTTAATCTAAAACTCTTCCCCATCAAAACATGATTAGCCGTCGATTATCAAACTTCTTTATCATTATTAATACTTTATATTATCATATATTAGTCTTTTGAGCTTTTTATAATACTACTAGTTATATCGATGAATTTTCCTTTTTGTAGTTAGTTTTTTTTCTTCTTATATTCTCAGTTCACTTTTTCACAATCAACTTGCTTGCTTCGTGGGGTCCTAATGGTCTAAACCCACGTGAGTGACGTTGTCGAGTCGCTAGATTTATCATATTCAAATTGTTTACCTCTCAGTTTCAATTGTGATATATCAAAATCAACCTTACCTATCAATTGTTACTCTCTTTAGACGAAATTACGTGTTTTTTTACAGTTTTTTTTCTTCCTTCTTTTTGTGTTAAGTTTTTCTTTTTGTTTTTAGATTTGAGGTTTTTTTTGAACTTATACAAAAACACTTCTCTGCAAAAAGAAGAAAAAAAAAAAGAAAAAAGGGCAAAAAACGGATCTTTTTACCTGGAAGACACGTGTCGGAACACTGGATAACTCAGTCACTTTACGACACGTTTCTTGAAGCAGCACTATGGAACGCCGACGTAATCCACCGGCCACGTGTCGTTCAGGCAGTTCTCTCGGCGGCCACTTGCCTCTTCTCTCAGTCAAGACCTGTCTCTCTTTCTTTCTTCCTTTCTTTCTCTCTTTCATCTCTCTAATGTCTAAAAGAGTCTTCTTCTTCTTCTCCTCCATCTCCGTCTCTGCTTTTCAATTTCAATTAACCACCTCTTCGTCGTCTCTGGTAACAACAACTCCGGCGACTCTTTTTTATTTATTCCCTAAATTACTTTGATGTGAATTTTCTGAGATTTTTACTGTTCAATCCATGATTACAGTTTTGGGTTTTTGATCGGATGTGAAAATTTTTAGATTCTTCTTCATCATTTTATAACAGAGGAGAAACAAAAAAAAAGGATCTTTTTCTTTCTTTCTATTTCGTTCTTTCTTTTAATTTAGGAATCTATGGGGGAAGCAAGTAGACAACAAAGGGCATGTAACAGAGAAATGACCGTTACGACAAATCTTTCTCTGGACATAGATAAGTACCCGAGAGATCTGTTACGAGGTTTCATGTCTGAAAACGGTGTTGGCAGAACGATTCATCGTGGAGGCGAAGCAGACTGCGATGACTCCGAGAGTGCGATCGAGCTGAATCTTGGTTTGTCTTTAGGAGGTAGATTCGGAGTAGACAAGACTCCTAGGAAGCTCAAACGATCTTCCTCTGTTATCGGAACTCTGCCTTTTGATGACTCAACGACGATTGTCTCGGGGATGGAGGCTGAGCCGGAGAATTACACGGTGGGTTTAGTGAGAACGACGTCGTTACCGGCGGAGATGGAAGAGGAATGGAGGAAACGGAAAGAGATGCAGTCTCTTAGGAGAATGGAAGCTAAGAGAAGGAGATGCGAGAAACAGAGTTTCAGAGTTGGGAATTCTGATGACCAAGCCGTGTCGTTTGAGAATGAGAGATGGGTCACTGCGAGTAAAAGTGGGTTTTTGCAGAGACATTTGGTTCCTTCTAATAGACAACTCTGTGTCGACTCTGATGGTGGAGGAGGCGGAGGCGGAGCTACAGGAGGAGGTAGCTCCTCGAGCTTATCGGAGCTGGACAACAAGAATCAACAAGGTAGATTTCAATACATTGTTGGCCTTAGACTCGGATTAGATAGTTTTATATTTGTCATTGAACTTGTGGTATCGTAGGATGAGTGAGTTACCACATTCTAGTAAAAAAGCGTGATTTATATGCTTCTGTGGGAGACTTATTAGAATCTGTGTGTTGTAGGATCATCAAACAGTTGTAATGATGAAAGAAGTCCGAAGATCGTGGCAGGATGTTCATCTAATAGCGGAAGCCATGGAACAGAGAAACCAAATGTGACAAGAGCCAACAAAGTGAATGAGAATGAGAAAGGGCTGAAAAGAGAGGACTCGGTGGATAGGAAAGGCAAAGGGATGGCTACGTCTACTGGCTTGTTTGACATGCCGTGTGTGTTTACCAAAGGGGACGGGCCAAACGGAAGACGTGTTGACGGGATTCTATACAAGTACGGGAAAGGAGAGGAAGTGAGGATAATGTGCATCTGCCACGGCAGTTTCTTGACACCAGCTGAGTTCGTTAAACATGGTGGTGGAGGAGATGTGGATCGTCCTCTACGGCATATCGTTGTCAACACTTCTTCTTCGACCTTTTAAATCGAAGAAATCGGTACAAAAAAAACGAATGGCTCTTTTGCTCTTTGTTTTGTTTTCTTTATCTCGTTGTTTTATCCTTCGGATCTCTGGTTTTTGGCTATAAGAATGAATGCCAAATCCCAATCTTGATGAAGATCAAGATTTTTTCATGCTTTTCTAGGTCTTAATATTTGTGAACATGAAAGCATCATAATCCAATGATTCTTTCTCCATCTCTCGCATTTTAAGCTAAATTTCATGTATGATGATATCTCAAGCAGAGTAATCGAAGGCCTCTCTGCAAAGTTCAGATAGTTTTTGAAACTTGTTTTGAAGTACGTATAATTGATGTGTAAACCACTAAACACTACAAGTCTACAACAGTTTTATAAAAGAACAAGGAGCCATTGAATACAGAAGAGCTCAAGCAGTTATCAAGTCTTTATGAAGCAAGTGTTGTTGCAGGACAACTAATGACGAGACAATGAATCTAGAAGTGTGTTCTTGCGAGAATCGATTTCTCTTTTTGATATTGGACCCGATTTGCGTAAAGAAAATCATAATTGGGCCAGTGGCTTATTCACTTACAATTGAGAACCAATCCAAAGTCCCAAACACTCATAAAGTCTTGACTTTTTAAAAAGTTGACTTCTCTCTCTCTTTCACAACGTGAAGAAAGAAGAACTGAGAAGCCATGAGAGAAGAAGAAGTCTCTTCTGATTGCGCACCAATTACACTTGAAGAATGGAACGGTTCTTCTTCAACTAAGCTATTTAGAACAGCAACCATCACTGCCTCCACTTCTCTATCTATCCAAAGGTTTTTCCTTTTCTATTCCATCCAAATCTAAATAGTTTCGGTGAAAATTGAGTGTGTTTCTTTTTCCTCCTGTGCGGCTGATTCATAGGTCTTCTAATCGATTCAATCATATATGGAGACGAGTTCTTCAAGCATTTGTACCAGAGGCAAGTGTTTTCTTTCCTTTTTCCCTCAAGCCTCATCTCTTCTCCTGATTAGGATCACTGAGACAACTGAATCGTACTTTGTCTTGATGATGCAGGGCTTTCCTGGTAGTGTAACTCCGGATTATGTAGGATTTCAATTATGGGATACGTTACAGGTATGTGAGAATATGCTTGTGTGCCTTATGGCTACTGTAAAATTTGATCTTTGGTTGAATTTGTCACTCGGCTATGTTGCAGGGTCTCTCAACGTATATAAAGATGATGCTTTCCACTCAGGTGAGGTCAAGTTTTGAGCTTTTGAGCTCTTAAATCGTTCTGCTGCAGTAGTATTTCTGATTTGGACTATTTTCAGGCTCTTTTGAGTGCAATTGGCGTTGGTGAGAAATCCGCAACAGTTATAGGTGCTACATTTCAGGTGAGTTTTTCTATTGCTGGCATATAACGTTTCTCCTACTTTACAACTCATTGGCTTTTTATATCTATATGCAGTGGTTTCTGAGGGATTTTACTGGGATGCTTGGAGGCATATTGTTCACATTTTATCAGGTACCCATATAGTAGATTGAGATTCTTCTCAGTCATAAACAGATCGATTCTTTTCCATTTTACTCTTCTTTGAGAGTTAGCCTAGTTACGGTTTTTAAAAAATTTTTAGGAGAACTTGAGGTTTTATTATCAGCAATTGATTCTCTTTTTTTTGCTGAGTATAAAAAAATAAGTCTCTAGTACAATGTGGAAAATTTTCTGATCTTCTGTTCCTCAGGGTTCCAACCTGGATAGTAATGCAAAAATGTGGCGTCTTGTTGCTGACCTTATGAACGATATTGGTATGTTCTTTTGTTTTCATTCAACACGCCAGTAATAGTTAGTTGCCATATTTACACTTGAAAATCATTTCCTGCATTTGGTTCTCAGAGACTTTGAATGACTACAAGTTTGTTGCTTTGATTGCAGGAATGCTAATGGACCTTCTTTCTCCTTTGTTTCCATCTGTCTTTATAATTGTGGTTTGCTTAGGGAGCCTATCGAGATCATTTAGTGAGTTTCATTACATGCATCAAAACTGAAATTGAGACTTCCTCTTTGATTGGTGCATCGTTTTTTATCGTTTTTTGATCTCCACTACTTGAACTAGCTGGTGTTGCCAGTGGAGCAACCAGAGCGGCTCTAACTCAGCACTTTGCTCTCCAAGATAATGCAGCGGATATATCTGCTAAGGTATTTGACCTTTTTCACTATGAATGATTTGGAAACTACAAATATGAAGTTTTTAGTAGTTTTTTTCTTATCTACTTTATTTACTGAAAGGAAGGAAGCCAAGAGACTATGGCAACTATGATGGGCATGTCATTGGGAATGTTGCTAGCTCGGTTTACTTCTGGCAACCCTTTGGCTATTTGGTTTTCGTTTCTCTCTCTCACAGTGTTTCATATGTATGGTAAGTTACAAAATGAAAGTAAAGGCTAGATCAGATCAGAATTTTTCTAATTATTTGTATATACTGTTTTCCAATCTTATATATTTAGCAAACTATAGAGCTGTCCGGTGTCTTGTATTGAATTCATTAAACTTTGAGAGGAGTTCGATTCTTCTAACACATTTCATGCAAACTGGCCAAGGTAAGTGTTATTGATTATTTGGAACGTTTCAGTGACTCTCCTTTGTTTTCAACTGGTTCCTCTTTATCATTGCATCATATATCAGTAACTTTCTTTAACTAAACATGTCGCCAGTTCTCTCTCCCGAACAGGTTTCTTCAATGGAGGGTGTATTGCCTGTGTGGGCCACTTCATTGAGATCAACTAATACAAAAGTATTGCTTAAGAGAGTGCACTTAGGTGTAAGAGTTTCTTCTCTCCCTCGTCTAGAAATGTAAGTTCATTTTCTCCAATTGCTACAGTTGATGGTTTAAAAAGAGAATTGCCGCTGCTTTCGGGAAAGAATCGACTTGATGTTGACAATATATGTGCAGGATGCAGCTGTTAAACGGTGTTGGCGTTTCTTCATACAAGAATGGTTTGATTGATTTCTTTTTCCATGATGTTTCAGTGATATTAGTTTGTCTGTGTATATTTGGCGTAAACTCGGTTCTTGTCTGTTGCACACTCCCGCAGATAAGTATTTATTGGCTCACAGAAAGGGAAATGTTAGTGTGATCTTGCACAAAGATTCAGAGGCTGCAGATGTGTTGAAATCGTATATTCACGCGATAGTTTTGGCAAACCTTATGGAAAAAAACACATCTTTCTATTCGGAAGGAGAAGCTTGGATGGATAAAAACTATGACGAATTTCTCCACAAGGTAATTTAGACCACTAAGACTAATTACTATTAAACCGTGTGTTTGTGACATGAAAGTGATTGTTCTAAGTTTTGATTTTCACTCTTTTTTATTTTTTACACCCTCTATGTAGCTAAGATCAGGAGGTTGGAAAACAGAGCGTCTTCTTTCACCTTCCATTACTTGGAGAGCAAATTGGATATCTCACACTTCGGGTGCTAAGATCGACTAAAGCTTAATCGCCCTTCTAAGATCAAAATACTAAAAACGGATCATGTTAGTTCTTGGTTTCCAATATACTCTATAGTGTGTGTAATTTGGATCATATGCTTTTAATGGATTCGAAAAGAAAGCATTGGCCAATGAGTAAAGAACGGAATTATTACATGCTGGACTAAAATCTAATAGTTTTGGGACCCCTCTCAGTCTCTCATCTCTGAACCAACAAATGATAGAAGCATGCTTTATTTATTAGTCACAAGAAACTCATGTTTCCCAATCATAAACATTAGAAAAAAATTATCTCAGTGTTCGATTCCGGTTCGGTTAATTTTGGTATGAGAAATTGTACCAAATCTACAAGTCAATCTCGCTTTGGGAACTTGGATTTGTGTTAAGTAAGTCACGTATATTCCCATTCTGTATCAGGACAAATTCGGTATGAAATGATAAAACCAGTCTTTCTAATTTCAATTTCGGTTTAATAATAATGAAATTTTGGTTCGGTTTGGTTTAATATGACACGCTAAAGAGCATCGGCGTTTGGTTCCTTCATACAAGTATGTATCTTTCGTCGTCTTTCACTCTTTTCTTTCCAGTCACGGTTTTCGCGTCTCACTATCTCTCCCTCACCTGATTGAAGGAGACTCGTCGCCGTTGCTCGTTGCGTCACTCCAAAGGTTTGTCTCATCCTTCCTCCTCCTCTTCTTCTGCCTTTGTTTCCTTACAGCTCTTATTTTTACATACATTTTACGATTTTTTTTTTTTATTTAAACTGTTTCCGTGAAAATTCTCTAATTTGTGTCATTTCGTTTAATTCCTTTGGATTTTTAGCGTCTCTCTTCGTCGGGTTTGTGGTCTGGACTTACGCAATTTCCATTTTGTTCTTCTGATCTTCTCCTCTCTGCTCTTTTTTTTTTTTGTTGAGTTGGAGAAATGCAGTTGTGTTAATGTTAGGGTTTTCGCTGGTTTTGCTTTCACCTTCGTCTAACTGATAATGTTGCCTTCTTGTAATTACTGGGTCGTTTTCTTACTCATCATCTTCGTCTAGGTTGTTAAAAAGTTGTGATTTTTACTAGGTTTCTGGAATTGGGTTTAGTCAATTTCGGGTTCAGGGTTTAAGGATAAGGGGTTATGCAACTCATGATCATGGGACTTGATGAATTTAGCTCAACATTTTGCTATGCTAGTTTGCATAACCACGGAAAGTTTATCATTCTCTCTTATTCCTGTTTTTGTAAGCTGATTGGATTTATAACCAGCTTCTTTGTGGCTTACTGTGGAAACTATGGGATGTTTTGTGTTGTAGGTTGCAATGTATTCCAGAATAGAGATGGAGGATCTGGAGTACAGATACTACAGTGAAATGAAAGATGGTACCAGGGAGGTCAAAATCTCAGAGTCATTGTTCAGATGTCCCTTCTGCTACAGAGATCGAAAGCGTGATTACCAGTTTGATGACTTGCTTCGACATGCTTCTGGTATTGGTGGTAGTTCCCGTACTAAGGATGGGCGAGAGAAAGCTAGACATCTCGCACTGGAGAGATATATGAGGAAGTATCTCCGCCCTCGGGAAAGACCCGATCCTACTCCAACTCCAGAGATCTCTTCTCTTCCTAAAGAGGAGTTTACTGGAAAGTGGAATTCTACTTTTTCAACTATTGAAGAAGGAGAATTGATAAGCACTGAAAATTCTACTTCACCACATATTGCTAAAGCTGAACCGAAGTCTGTCTCAGGAGATGATCCTAGACGAAATGGTGAAGAAAACCCAACATTTTCTGATAATTTAAACTCCTCTCTTAGCAATGAAGACAAATCATACCCTGCCAAAAGACCTTGCTTAATTTCTGGTGTGAAAGAGGGAGAAGCACATGTCCAACAGATTGGTCTCAGCCATGGTGCTAGATTTTCTCCAAAATATCCTCAGAGGCTAGATTCTTTGGGTGCTGGTAATGGGGATCTGATGCTTGTGCATCCCTGGAAAGGTATCCTGGCTAACATGAAAAGAACTTATAGTGAAAAATTAAGAAAGTATACTGGTGAGAGTGGAAGCAAGATAAAGGAAGAATTGGTCAAAAAAGGGTTTAGTCCCCACAAAGTCACGCCACTGTGGAATGGAAAACTTGGTTTCAGTGGTTTTGCTATTGTTGATTTTGGTAAAGAGTGGGAAGGATTCAGAAACGCGACCATGTTTGAGACATATTTTGAAATCAATCAGTGTGGGAAGAGAAGCTATGATCTCACACGCGATCGAGGTGATAACCTTTATGGATGGGTAGCAAAACAGGATGACTACTATTCAAGAACTGCTATTGGTGACCACCTCAGGAAACAAGGAGACTTGAAGAGTGTTTCTGGTAAAGAGTCAGAAGATCAAAGAAAGACATTGACACTTGTCTCGAACTTGGAAAACACACTGGTGACTAAAAGCACTAGTCTTCAACAAATGGAGAGCATATACAAAGAAACCAGTTCGGTGCTTGAGAAAAGATTGAGAGAGAAAGATGAAATGATCGACACACATAATGAAAGTATGTTCTCTTACTATGAAATGGATTTTTGCTTGATTGAGGTGTTTTTCTAGTATTTAAATTTGAAAACTGATCAGTTTACTTTTCAATGATTAGAAATGAGTATTATGCATCAAACTGCCCGTGATTATTTGGCTGATGTTTACGAAGAACATGAAAAGGCGTCTCAGCATCTGGAAGCTCAAAGGAAAGAATATGAAGACCGAGAGAAATTTCTAGATAAATGTCAAGTTAAGAATAAGACTGAGCGGAGAAAGCTTCAATGGCAAAAACAAAAGGTAACATTCTCATGCTTTGTACAACTCTACCCTTATACTAATTTAATCTTAGCAATGACTCGTGGAATCTTATAATTTTCTGCTAGAACTTGATGGCAACTCAAGAGCAAAACAAAGCTGATGAAGACATGATGAGACTGGCAGAGCAGCAACAGGTAGGCTATACACTTTAAAAGTTACTCTTCGAGTTGCTGACGGTTTGATTTTTGGTCACAGTTATAAAGTTGGCTGTTGTTGTACAGAGGGAGAAAGATGAATTGCGTAAGAAAGTTCGTGAGCTTGAGCAGAAGATTGATGCTGAGCAGGCATTGGAGCTAGAGATAGAGCGTATGAGGGGTGACTTGCAGGTCATGGGACACATGCAAGATGGTGAAGGTGATGATCCAATATTAATGAAGATGATATTGAAGACAAAGGAAGAACTGAAGGAGAGAGAAGAGGAGTGGGAATACCAAGAGTCGATCTATCAAGCTCTTGTTGTAAAACATGGCTACACTAACGATGAGCTACAGGATGCGCGCAAGGCTTTGATTAAAGTAAGCAATTCTCAGCTTCTCTCTAGCTCTCCCCTCCTTCTTTTGAGGGTTTGTTGTTTGGATTTTCTGTTTGATGAACATCCGTGGTGTTGCTCTAGTGAGACTCCATGTTTTTCCCTGGTACCTCGTAATAGAAAACGCGGACGATAGTGTAAGTGATTTGCCATTTTATGTTTGGTACTTGTTACTAATTATGTTTGAGCTATGTGCAGTCAATGCGGGAGTTGACCGTACGAGCTTACATTGGTGTGAAGAGAATGGGAGCATTGGATGAGAAACCATTCCAAAAACTAGCTAAAGAGAAATATCCAGCCGAAGAAGCTGATGAAAAAGCCGAAGAGCTCTGTTCTTTGTGGGAAGAGCACTTGGGAGACTCGGCTTGGCACCCGATTAAGGTCATTGTAAAAGATGGAACCCCAAAGGTAAACAACAGTACATACACGTTGTTCTCTTCAATCGGTGCTTCTTAAAAAAACCTTAGCTCCTGCAATCTAAGAACACGAGAGAAACTATAATGATTTTGCAGGAAGAGCTGAATGAAGAAGATGAGAAGCTACAAGAGCTGAGGAAAGAGTTGGGTGAGGAAGTGTATGCAGCTGTGACACAAGCGCTTAAAGAAAGGAACGAGTACAATGGCAGTGGAAGGTACGTAGTGCCTGAGCTTTGGAATTTCAAAGAAAATAGAAAAGCTACTCTCAAGGAAGGAGTTCTTTATCTGGTCAACTCGTGGAAACTGAGGAAGCCGAAGCCGAAGCGTAGATAAGTTAATTAAAGAAAGAAAAAAAAGAAAAAAAAAAACTCATTTCTAGAACCCTCTTTTGTTGATAATTATTAAGACTAGACAATATTTATGATTATCCCCACTAAATAATAGTTAGGGTGAAAACTTGGATTTAATATCAAATTTATGTTACTTGATTGATCAGTAATTCCCCACTAAGATATTAAATTCCTCCACTTTTCTAAGCTGCTGCATGCATGAAAGCGGGATTTTATTAAATACAAAGATTCATGAATATGCATCGTCGAAGATCTTCTACAGTTTACAGTTTAGCTACTTTAAAAACACATATACAAGGCTAGCTACTTAAATAACACTTTACATTTTATGCATGACAGAAAAATACAGTCAAAAGGTCTTCGTGTTAGTTTATATTCTCGTTCTGGAGATTACTTCCTGTGTCAAGATGACGCCATAAGTACGAAATTGCAGAGTACAGAAAGAGCAGTGAAAATCCCCTGTTTCAAAGCTTAGGAATACTGACCATTCTTGTTGACGTTATTGCCACAATCAGGTCATTGTTCTTTACCTGCGTTCCTGCAGTGATAGTTTTGTGAATTAGGCGAGTTTATTCCTTGAGCCGGATAAATGGTTTGTCATAAGCAAAATTTCTACCTTTACGGTTCCTATGTTCTCAAGCTCCATAAGACAAGCTTTGTCCCGCCTTTGTCTTTTTCCATCCCTCAATCTACCAGTTTCGTTCTCAAAACCTGAACCCCTGAAGATACTTAGTATCACTGAGGATAATAGTGAGCTCACATCATCATATACACCGACGCAGATCCCAAATTTCTTGTCAACTGACAAAAAACTTTGTTCTCAAGACCTATAACTGTGCTTCCACACCCTCACCTGGCCATTTAAATATAGGTTCTTCATCATCGTTGGAGTCTCTTGGCCTTTGATTTAGCTTAGTGTGCTGCATACAGGGAAGCTTCAGTCGGCTTAATCCCCTCTTTCATAAGCATGACCGCCTTACTTACACACCCATTCCTACGAAAACCAGCGATTAGCGTTGTGTAAGACACAACATCAGGCTTTAAACCCCTTTTACTCATTAGATCAAAGATCATTTTCGCCTCTTTAACATTTCCCATCTTGCAACAACCAGCTATTAGTGCTGTGTAAGGCGCAGCATCAAGATCCACCCCACTTTTGATCATTTCATCAAAGATTCTTTTTGCCTCTCTAATATCACCATGCTTGCACTGCCAATCAATCAAAACCGTGTAGTAGAAAACGTCTGGTTTAACATCAAAGGCTTTCATTTCCCTTGTAAGATCTATTTCTGGATCATTACTGAGCAAAACTGTGTATGTTACCACATCAGGTACGATTTCTCTCATCTTCATCTCTTTGAAAAGAGTTTTGGCTTTCTTCAGGTCGTTTAACTGGCAATATCTGTTAATCTTTACTGTGTAGTGGACAACGTCTGGTTTAACATCAAAGGCTGCCATTTCCCTCTTCATATCCAACTCTGGAATGCTATTGAGTAAAACTGTGTATGTTACCACGTCAGGTTTGACATCTCTCCTCTTCATGTCTTGAAAAAGAGCATAGGCTTGCTTCATCTTGTTTAACCGGCAATAGGTGTTAATCATGTTAGTGTAAGTGAACAAATCAGGGATAATCTCTTTAGTGACCAAAATTTCAAAAAACTGATGGGCTTTTCTCACATTATTAACTCGACACCAAGCACCAATTAACTTTCCATACATGCTCTTCTCAGGTTCGACTCCAAGTTCCCACATTCTATACAGTAAGTCTTGAGCTTTGCTGATATAATCCTTCTCGGCGCAGAGACTATTGAATAGAGTAAAATACACACTCTTGGGCAGAGGAAATTCCAGTCTAATGAATCTTTCAAAGGCCTGATCAAGATAGCCAGCTTCACAATAACCTTTCACCATACTTGCATCATTTTCCTGAGATTTGTGTTCCAAACTCTCATAGAACGCTTCAGCCTCGTCCATTTTACCTGCAACAATCAGGCCTTCAATGACCATGTTGTGTGTAACATAAGTGGGTTTTACCCCCCGAGCTTCCATCAGTTTCAGAGTTTCGAGTGCCTCTATTGCAAGACCATTCCTAGCCAATCCACCAGCAAGTACATTATATATAACAGTATCAGGTGTTTTACCTGTTCCGTCCATTTCAATCATCAAATCAAAGGCATCAGAACATTTACCTTGTAGACAGCAACCACGTATCAACGTCGTGTAGTTGATGACGTCAGGAGCTATTCCTTTATCCGTCATTTCTCGGAACAACTCAATAGCTTCGTCTACTTTGCCTAGCTTTCCCAAAGCATCAAATGCAACATTGTAGCAAACCCTATCAAGAGGAATGTTCATCTCTCTAAACTCTTTAAATAGATCACAAGCTTCAGAGAATTCTCCCATCTGACAATAGCACTGAAGGATTGAGCTTACAATCACACAATTTATTCTTATTCTTTTCTGCACCATTCTCTTAAAAATATCCAAAGCTTTAGGTATATTCATATTCCTGCGATGTACCTCAATTATCGCAGAGTAAACATAGACATCCGGATCAATCCCAAGTTCCTCCATCTCAAGAACTGCCCTTTCAGCCTCTTCTATTTTCATCTCATTACATAAACCACGAACCACTTTGCGATATGCAAGTCCAAGTGCACTCTTTTCCACCAAAACATTTGCATCTCTCAATGGTTGGAGAAGTAGATTAGCTATACCTGCCATCTGATTGAAGCATAGTCCCTCAATGAAATTCATATAAAACACGCAAGGATTCCTAGTCTCTGAGTTGAACAGTCTACTAAGAACCTTCTCTACTCCTTGTGTATCATCATTCCTACACAAAGCTTGCACCACAAGCACATAAGTATGCGCATCCGCATCCAACCCCAGCCGCTCTATTTCCCAGAAAAAATCAATAGCTTCGTCAAACATTTGAAGATTAGAATAGGCTTTAACCAATGCAGTGGAGAGCCGGGTCAACAACACCAACGACACTCCCAATTCTCCAATGGCCTTAAACAAATCCATGACAGTGAAACCTCGCCCCTCATCTCCTTTTCTGATGAATCCCACAAAAAAAGGATCCAACTTCTGTTCCAAACCACAACCACAAACAATTCTGATCACAGCTGCATAAGCTTGGAGACTAGGCAAAGCCCCGTTTCCTTCAATTCGTTTCAGAAACGACAAAGCAAGATAAGGATCATCCTTCATAGTATTTAAAACCCGAAGAACCCCAATTTCATTCAACTCCAACACATTACGATCAAAGTTACCTTCTTTCACTTGCTCCGAGTGTGAGATTGCAAGGTTCTCCTTCCGGGCGAGTGCAGAAACCACGTAGAATCGCGAAGAGGGTGCTCGTCGAATCAATCCTCTCACATGTGAGGATAGTGGAATCGGAAAAAACCGCATGAAATATTGGGAATAAGCAAAGCAGAGAGACTGAGGAAGAGACTTCTCCGACCAAGAGAAATGAACAGAGTGCTTCCAAAGATTTTCTCAGGGTTTTACTTTTCACAGAAATCGAACCGAACTGAACCAAGTCCAAACTTTTCGATTCGGACTCGAACCGAAATCAATCATCGACAAATTGAGACATTTGCAAGGTATCAATTATATTATACCGAATATAACCAAAACTTTTTGAATTACAAACCAAATAACCGATATTATATGGTTTTAACTCGTACGATCTGTAAACTATTTGGGCCTTTACGGCCCATTCATCTTGACTTTTTTATACCATACAGAATCGTCTGTTTCCTTAAACCCTTAAAAATCCAGAATCAAATTCGTCTATTCACCGCCGGTGTGCTGTCGCCGATATGCTTCGTCGTATCTTCTACAAGCGTGCACGGTCAGTTGTTGTCTCTATCTGATTACTTTGTCTAGCTCGGAGTTTTGTAAGAGAAATTTAACAAATTTGGGGGCTCAATTTTTGATTTTGAAATCGGTTTTCGAATTGAACTAATTTGGGGAAATTGTTTTCACTGTTTTAAATCTTGATAATCTTCATTCTTACCCTTGTTTTTGATTTTTTTTTTCTTGGCAGTGATGATTTAGCTAACTGTCATCGTCTGTTGCACATTCCGTATAACGAACCAGAGTCTGATCCAAAGGTAATATCCGAAATCATTGGTATAGTTTCAAAGAAAGAAGTAGCATCATCATCATCATCATCATCATCATCATCATCAGTTACGGAACAAACTCAACATTGGCGTAAGAATTGGCAACATTTGAGAAAGAATAGGTTAACAGCTAGTAACTTTTCACATGCTATTGGATTTTCTCCCGAGGGTAGACGAAATCTTTGGTTAGAGAAAATCGGGGCATCGAAACAGTTTGCTGGGAACCGAGCTACGTTTTGGGACAATGATAATGAGGTTGAAGCACTCGAGAGATACAACGAGTTAACGGGAAACGATATCCTCATGCCTGAATTCGTTGTGTATAAGAAGGGGGAAACCCCTGAAGAAGACTGGTTAGGAGCTTCTCCTGATGGAATGGTTAATGTAGTTAAAGACGGTGTAACTTCAAGGGGTGTGTTAGAAGTGAAATGCCCGTTTTACGACGGGAAAGCTTATCCATGGAAGAAGGTTCCTTGGACTTGTGTTCCACAACTTCAAGGTTTAATGGAGATTGTGGATGCTGATTGGTTGGATTTTTATTGTTGGACTCCAAGGGGAAGCAGCCTCTTCAGAGTTTGGCGAGATACCGCGTTTTGGGAGGATATGAAACCGGCACTTGTTGATTTCTGGCAGAAGCATGTTTTACCTGCAAGAGATGTATACAATAACTTTGATATAAGGGATCCTCAAGTGAAGCTGAGAGAGTTTATGCCAGAGCATTGGCATGAAGATTGCAAGAAGATTATGCGTGGAGCTGAGAGAATCAGCGATAGCTCTAACCGTTTGTTCTATGAAATCAACGGGAAGCTTGTAGATTGAGATTTTGGGAAATGGAACATGTGGAACCTGCAAACAAGCCATGTTCCTTGCTTTCTCATTTGAATGTTTTATTTGCTTCGTTCGGGATGTAGAAAGCACAAAATGAAGCTCTTTTGATGAGCTTAAAGTACATATTTCATATCTCTGTTTCTTATTGTTTCATCAGCCTTTTGTTACATCAGAATACATTGGTCGGTCACTCGTAAGTTTTCACTTTTGGCCATTCTTTTTCTTAGTTGAAATCTAAATTTGCGATGGTGTGTATTGGATGGTTGGATTGATGCCCAATTAGCCGTAGTCTCTAGAATATGTGGCTGAGATTAAACCACGTAGGATGAAGTTACTTGCCACGTGTCATATCTGTTCTATCAAGTTACCACCAACCAACCGCTAAGTGCGAAATGAAACAGAGTTAGAGAGAGAGAGAGAGACGCGTCGTCTTTTACGATGCTCTCAACGTTGACGGCGACGGCGGTTTCTCAGCCGGTTTTTAAGTCGGGATGTAAAATGAGACGTCCGTTCAAAGTGACGGCGGAGAAGTTCCCGAAGTTTTTGCCGAGCGATGTTGAGAGTATCAAAGACACGTTTGCTCTGAAGCTCGCCGCCAGAATCGAGAGGCTTCCCGTATCTGTAAGTAACACGTTTACAAATCTATCTGAAATTTCAAATCTGTTTTTTTTTTTTAAAATCTGAAGTATGATCCTTTCATGATGATGGAGAGTTTGAGCTTCTCACACTCTCTTAGTTGCAACAGTGGTTTCATGTGACAATTAATTTCTTTGTCATGTGATGTGGAAAGTATAGGTCAGCTTCACTGAAAAAGGTATTATGAGCAGTTGCGTGACACCGCTGACGCGGACCGAGACAAGTAGTCCTGTTGTGCTTCTTCATGGATTTGATAGGTACTATTTTATTTGATTTCAATCAAATTATGCGGTATCTTTTTAAGTTTAAAACTCTTGTAAACAGTTCTTGTTTAGAGTGGAGATACACTTATCCATTGCTTGAAGAAGCCGGTTTAGAAACATGGGCATTTGATATCCTTGGTTGGGGTTTTTCTGATTTAGGTTCTTTTCTCTCTTTTCTTTACCTTCCTTTCCCTTTTTCTCCTACGCACTCAAATTTTCAACTTCTTTCACACTACTTGCTCATCTTCCATGCTTTCTTTTGTAGGGAAACTTCCTCCGTGTGATGTAACGTCTAAAAGAGAGCATTTTTACAAGGTTTTTAGTCAATTTTCTTTACTTAATGTGATATCATATAGAGTTGATGGGAACTGAGTTGGCTCTTCTTGTATGTATCCATAGTTTTGGAAGACTCATATTAAACGACCTGTAGTTTTGGTTGGACCGAGCCTTGGTGCTGCTGTCGCAATTGACATTGCCGTCAACCATCCAGAAGCGGTACCTATGGAACCCTTAAGGAGCTTTCATTATTTCTCATAAAGAAGTTTATTAGTAAGACATGTTCAGAATATATTGACTATGAGAAGAAATTTTCGAATCTTCAGGTTGAGTCCTTGGTTTTAATGGACGCAAGCGTTTACTCAGAAGGTACTGGCAACTTGGCAACTTTACCCAAAGCAGCAGCTTATGCTGGGGTAAGTCTTCATCAACTTCTATACATACATTTCCCCTGATTGTGCTTGAAGATTATTCTCTACTCTTCACAGTTCTGTTAACTTTATGGTTTTTTGGGTATATGAACTTGGTTTGATTTTAGGTATATCTACTGAAGAGTATTCCATTACGGTTATACGTGAACTTCATTTGTTTCAATGGTATCTCACTGGAAACTAGTTGGGATTGGACAAAGGTAAACAAGCCTTACCAAAGAGTTCTCATTGGTAAACAAGGAACTAGCTCTCAGTCTAAATTTATTTTCTCAATCTAGATTGGTCGGTTGCATTGTTTATATCCTTGGTGGGAAGATGCAACTGTTAGTTTTATGACGAGTGGAGGATACAACATAACCTCTCTTATAAAAAAGGTAGTTTCTTTTAAACCACTTTCTGTTCATTTAGCTTTTGGAAAAGATGAAATCAAGAAGAGAATCTATGCATTGATGTTCTTTGTTTGCTTCTTTTTTGTTTTTTGTTTTTTCTACTCTACATCTTCTGTTGCAGGCTACTGAATAAGATTCTGTTGTGCAGGTTTCACAGAAGACGCTGATACTATGGGGAGAGGATGACCAAATCATCAGCAACAAGCTCGCTTGGGTTAGAGTTTTTCTATCTCTACTACAATATTTAAAATGGTCTCTATAGTACTAAATCATTTCTCCTTCAATGCAGAGACTGCACGGAGAGTTACCGAACGCCCGAGTGGCACAAATATCAAACTGTGGACATCTTCCCCATGTCGAAAAACCGGCTACTGTGGCCAAATTGATCACAGAGTTTGTTAGAGAGACTTGCCGGAGTAAAGTGGTTGAAAGTATATCTTAGAGCCTTTGGGGGTTGGGAAAATTATTGAAGATGTGTTTCTTACCAAAATCTAACTTCTTAAATTGTATAGTTGATACTTCACTTGTTTCATTGTTGGTTGGTCTTTTTTTGAATAAATGAACCAAATCCCCACCACACTTGTTGTACTCTATGATTGATCAAAATGAATTATTCTTGTGTATAATCTAAAAAACAAAAGTATTTTTTACACAACAAACGAGTTGGTAAGGTTGTTGTTGAGAGGTCTTCATCATAAACTCATCACTTCTCAAAACGCTTGTTGCCATTCTCAACACTAAGATTGATGTTCTATTTTTTCATTGTTTTTACTCAAGATTAGACCAACCTTTACATAGACGATAGCGCAACAAACGCCTAAGCTTTCATGTTCCACCCAAAATAGAATCAAAGACTAACACAAAAGTGGACGTCTTTGTCTCTCTACACGTGGCGAAATCACAACCTTACATCACAACCCCATAGAAACGCTAGTAATGAGAAACAGAGTGTGAAAACAGAGGAGATGACCAAACTTGAAGCACCACTCCCTCCGTTGCCTGGGTTAAAACCTCCGGTTGGACCAAACACCGGAGGAGTTCCCGGGAACAACGGAGTTCCTGGAAACGGGTTTCCTGTATTTGGAGTAGTTCCGTTAGACGTCGGAGGAGTTGTTCCCGTTGGTGGTGTTGTCGATGGAGGTGACCTTGTAGAAGAGCTGTTACAAAAAAAAAAAAAAGTAAACTTCAAAATATTAATACGAATGAGACAGCTTTAAGTTAATGGAAGAAGTGATCATACATACCTAGGACTTGAAGGATAGATGCAGCCAGTAGCCAAATCTGCACACAAACAAAAAGACATCATCATGATCATGAATTTTTCTCAACATAAGCCGTAGACTTTTAGGGGTAGTGGACTTTACTGGAAGGTGGGTTTTGATTGGTAGTGGCAGTGCCGGAGAAATCGCAGCTTCCAGTGACTTGAGCTGCGTTCTGGAAGTAGCTGTTAACAGCCCAATCACAGTGGCTTTTGATGGTGTTAGGTTGATAACAAGGACCCTTGTCATGGATTGGATTACAATCAGCTAAGGTTCCACATGCATAGTCTATTGCTGTTTGAAGCTCTTTGTCTCCTATCCCATCTTTGCAGACACAGTAAATTGCACCTAGAGGGAGAGAGACATAGCTTTAGATTGAAATCTATGATTTAAAAGATCATTGCTTCACAGAAAGCTTTGATTAAGGAAACATGAATATAAGAACTAAACCAAAAAAAAAAAAGAAGAAGAAGAAAGCTTTACTTGAAGATTTGGTAAAGGCCAAGAGAAGAAGCAAAAGACCCAGAAGCACTTCCATGATGACTAGTAGTAATTAAGATCGCTGGTTAGGAGAAGCACAAAATATACTTTGACCTTAGGAGGAAGAACTTAAGATGATGGCTTTAGAAAGAGAGGGTGAGAGAAGATGTACACAGAACTTAAGAGAGTATTAGAAAATGAAAGGTGGTTTAATAAAAATAATTGGGACAAAAAAAGACTTGTATATAAGTCAGTGTTTTGGTTCTACATGTTTTTAATAAACATTTTATTTTTGTTTTATTGAAATGATTATAATAGGTTGATTCATAACGTATTGAAAAAGAAAGAGTTGAAAACTGACATGTATTGACGAACTACGTATAGAAGATCATATATTCTTCATATGCGTGGCAATATGTAGAATAAAAAAAGTTTCTTCCTAAATTGTCAATATCATACTACTACGTGCTATTGTTCATTTTAAAATTCTTCGATTGTGAATTTTCTTGGATACGAGTCACAAACTTTTTGAGCAAACTAAAACAGTTTTTGAAATTTTGCATGTTGTGACCTGTAACATATTCTGATGAAACGTCTCTAAATTTAATAGTAGTACTCTTTTTTCTTTTGAAGGGTGGTATACTTCTCGTGTGTCTGTGTGTACCTCAATAAAACGGTAATTGATAAGTTTGAACACAAGTTTGTTTGTTAATGGTTGGAGTTTTAATTTTAAGAATGGTTTCGACTATTTATTCATCATCATCTTACATATGTTATGCCAATGTTCCAACTTTAAGCATACAGTATATACGTGAGAGTGTATATTATTTTTTCTATATTAATTCCTTTCCCAGATGAAAATTGTGTTTTAGACACTTTAGAGTGGTTCAGGCGTTCAGCGTGGTGGGATCTATGAGTAACATTATGTAGATGATACAGTTCACATTGAACATCATGGGGATGTAGCTCAAATGGTAGAGCGCTCGCTTTGCATGCGAGAGGCACGGGGTTCGATCCCCCGCATCTCCAAATTCTCTTACATAAAGATTTTTGAACATTTTTTTTGTTTGTGGGCTAGAGACAATAAAACAGCTACATAGAGAACAAGGGAGGCAGAAATGAAAAAAGCAGCGGACAAAAAATGGAAGCAGAACCTAGTCTCTTCATGCATGCAACGTTTGACCATAAGAAAAAGTCATTCAGGCCACCAAGTGAATCATAGCTGTAATAGAAATCACAACCGAGACTTCTTATACCATCCTCAATGCAAGCATCTTAGGGAGTATCTTATCCTAAGATTTGCAAAGAGAATACCTTATATAAGATTCTCTCTTTGCAAATCTTAGGGTAAGATACCCCCTAATATGCTTGCATTGAGGATGGTCTTAGTAGTACCTTGCAGCATATTTCATGGTACAAGCTGGCATGGTTCAAGCTTGGCAATGTTGATCAAATGGACTGAGTCATGGAAAATTAAGAAATAAAATCGTTTGGTATGAGGAACTTGTTTTGATATGAGATTTGTGGAGGAGGATAGGATATTGTGCATAAAGAAAACAGAGTATCAACTTTGAGTGATGCAACTTTGAGTATCAACAGAGGACCAGCTTTATTTTTTTTAACTATATATAACTAATACGAACCATGAGTGAAATGAAGCATCAGGTATTACATATATATGGGGGACAAAGATGTCTCTGCGTATATAATAACCAAGTCTTTTAAGTCATAATTCATAAAAGCATCGCAAGTTTGGAGTTACAAAACATTGAAACTGCCGACTTAGGTGGTGGATTTGGCTTTTTGCGCCTCCTTCTAAACAATTTGGGGATGCCGCCGCAAACCCTAGCTCAATATACATATACATATACATATACTATATAAATCAAAGAGCTTGCATTGTATCACAAGGTAAAAACACCAAAGAGCTTGTATATATATGTATATAGTGTTCTACTACTCCATAGTCTTCTTCTTTATAGAGCTTTCTTAGGTAAAGAACGACCTAGAGTAACCCATGAAACTATTGAGAGGTTTTAATTTGATACCAGGAAAGCAAGAATCAATAAATAATAAAACATTGTTATGTTTAGACTTTAGACTTCAGGTTTTGATTTGTTAAAAATGGGATGTTTGCTATATAGTTAATACACAAGCTTAGTTAACAAATGGGGATGTAGCTCAAATGGTAGAGCGCTCGCTTTGCATGCGAGAGGCACGGGGTTCGATCCCCCGCATCTCCATAATATTCAGCTTTTTTCTTTTTCTTTTTTTTAAATAAAATATATTACCACACAATTAGAGGATCCTACAGAAAAGTAATTACGAAACGAGGAAAATAAAACTGAAAACAAATACATATCTGAGATGAAGGACTAACAAAAATATATGGAAGAAAAAATATAAAACTGCAATTCTGTTTGCAAAACAGAAAAATAAAAGAAAAAAAATATGTAAAGAATGTTTGTAATCTGATAAAATCTTCCACTGGTAAGAAAATCCCAGTCTCCATTTCCATCTTCTTGATTTCTCTCCAGAATTTGCAAGCAACATTTGTATCAGTTCAGCAATGTGTAACTCTGATTCATTCTAATGAGAGAAGAGAACTCAGTCACTATGTATAAAAGATTATGACATTTGTGAGTTCTTGAATTCAAAGCTCAGAGAACTGTTGAAAGAATAGAGAGAGAGAGAGCACGAAAGAGAGAGATTACCTATGAAAAATATACTGTACTTGTAGTGTCGATGGTGTAGAGAAGCAAATTTTTTGACAGTTTGCTGATTTTGCTTCTTTTCTTTAGTTACTTTTTCAGGAATGGTTTTTGACAAACTAGGAGCCGTTGGTCACTACCGTCTTGAATATCAATGACCCGTGCTTCCCAACGTACACGAGCAGCTAGTGTACGCGCCATCTCTATCACTCCAAGCTTATCGCTTAGCACGACCCATCCCTATCAATCAATCAGGATATACTAAGTTTATCTCAGCTTATGATAAGTTTCTAGTTAGGATCATATGAGATATTTTGGGAGTGTAGAAAAGAACCTCAGGGCGGAGAATCCTGTCCATTTCCAAGAATAAGTCCATTAGGCTGCATCGTTCTGAGCTAAGATGTGTAAGAAGTTCATTGGCATGAAGCATGTCATAAGTTCGCGGATATGTAGGGAATGGTTCACACCTGCACAGCATTAAATGGCCAAGAAACAAATGTTATAAGCGAAAAGGAGGATATAAGCAAAACAAAACATTCTCGAGTCATCTAAAGAGACCTAAGGGAGATAAATGTGATTAACAACATGAAATCTAAGAAAACACACTCACCAGTCATGTAGAACGCCAGCAAAACCTCGATCAAGTATAATAGGAAGAGTATTACGTGCTTTGACTGGGACGACATTCATCACCCAAACTGATTTCCCTTGGTTAAGGAAGGCATGATTCAGATTCCCATAACGAGCATTCATGTCCATGGCATTGCGTATCATATAAAAAGGAGGGACAGGATCTTCATCACCAGGTCTTTTGGGATGGTCTGAGAAAATCAAAGGTGTAAGCAAGGACCAATAGTTTTTAAGGGCTGATCTCCATACTTGTATGTCCTCATCGAATTCTTCAGGTTTAATACCTGTTGAAAGAAATTTATCACAGAAGAACATTAACCGCCAGAAACTAATGAGCAATGAAAACAGAGTGACTAGTTCCGACGAAATCAACAGTTACCATGAATTTCAAGCTCAAACAAACTAGTTCCGGAAGCTTTAGACCTATTCTGAATAGGAATCCAGCGTTTACTCTTGGTTCCACTTATACATGGAACAAGAGGTTGGTAATACGGAACACCATTATCATCTTTGCAAAGAGGTATAGAAGCTTGCGAGCTACAACAAGCAAGAAAAAGAAAGAACAACATCAGTGTGACTGTGAGTGAAGAAACCAAACTTCAGGACTCTGTTCTCATACTCACCGAGATGAATAGCAATTTGGATCTGCTGTTTTCTGCCAAAGAAACGTCTCATCTTGCTGACCTGAGAGACTCCAGCAGATTTTCTTAGATAACTCATCCACACGTGTTGAGATACTTGTTTTCTTAGCATCAGGAGAATTTCCATGTGCTTTGCTTGTAGGAGAAGTTAAAACAAAATAACCCCCAGGCTTGAGGATACGATCCACTTCCAAGAGTAGCATTGAATCTGCTTAAGGTCAAATAATTGAAAGCACTGTCACTTTATAGAAGTTCTATTACTGTCACTTTATAGAAGTTCTATTACTGTCACTTTATAGAAGTTCCATTTCAAAGCCTCAAATTCATAGACCCAAGATAAGTGAAAAATTATAAACCATACCAGATAAATACCTTTTATATCCCAAGTAATCCCACATTGAGCACAATGGACCATGTCAAATGATAAAGCTGGATATGGAAGCTGTTTTGAAAAGAAATTTCCAATCACTGCAGGAAGGCCTCTCTCTAGAGCTAGCTGGACTTGGCTTCCACTTGCCTCATACTCTGCTATACATATAGGCATCACGTTCAAAGACACTAGATGTGCACCAAAGCTACCAAATCCGCAACCAATATCCAAAACAGTCCGTATCTGCAAGCAGTGGAAGGCAATATAAAGAGTTCTTATGTGATAAACATAACTAACACAAAACGATCAATGATAAGAGGAAAGAAGGCAAATCAACTTACACCAGCTTGGGGAAACTCGGTATCGCTTCCTAATCCAATCATCTCAGCAATTTGAAAAGCGTAATCTTTAACCCCGTCAAAGATCAAGCCATCTTCCGAGTGAAACGTAATTTGATTCTCTTCAAGCAGCATTAGCCTAATAACAAGCAGTAGAATAGATTAAGATGGCACAACACCAGCTGAAACTGCATAACAAAAAAAAATCTTACTAAAGCTTGGTGATCTCAGATACCTTTTGGTCATAGTTCCTGATGAAAGAAACTGATCTTTAGTAATCTTCACATTCCCACTCCATACAATATCTCTACCAACAGGCCATCTAAGTGGTATCTTATAATCTCTCGGAGGACGAACTACACATCTTTCCTCTTCTCTTGCAGACCCACAATTCCGATCAGCAAGTATAGTCTCTGATACGTTATAACAAGGAACATAGTTCTCTCTTTCTTTGCCACATAAAGGAAACTCTTTTAACCGATTAACCCCTAAGGAGAAAAACCTTAGATCTAGATAATCAATAGCTGCTTGCTCTCTAATCCTCCCATAGTTACTAAAAATGTTATGCGTCACTCGCGTAGTTGAAGTTGGAGAAGGAGAATCATCAGAATTTGGTACTAAAATGGTAATGAGAGCAATAACACCGAGGATTAAGAAAAGTAAGCCGCTGATCCGTGGTCTAAGACCAAAAACTGAGGCAAGCTTCATGGTCCCAGGATCAAAACAAGAGCTTTATTGTAATCAAATCTACACTATACAACCACTCTTCCTGTCTCTATAAGATTCCTCATTCCAACTAACATTTGCCTAATCAAGCCATAAGATTCACCATTTGAATCATGAGGAGAAATAATCCAAATCAGGAAAGAGGCATCAGTCACTGAACGCCAAATTCAGAACTAACTCGTAATTGCCAATTACGGAAACGAACACCAAACCAACAAAACCTGCAAACCAAACTTTCTCAGATCAAAAATCAAAATTTCCTAAAAAAAGAGAGAAACTTTTTGCCTTTTTGTATTTTACAAAAATTTTTTTACTTTTTGTCGACGTAAAATGTATTAGTTATCATAAGCAAAAGGAGCCAAGAACGAACCTCGTGAGCCCGACGAAAAACTCAATCTCATATTCCTATAATGAGATCTCGAAAATGACGAAGACGAATTAGATGATTCAGATCAACAAGGAAAAGCTTGAAACCAATGATACGAACGATCGTAAACGAAAACAAAAATCAAAAAGGGGTTTTTCAAGAAGAATGATTTAGATTTTGAACAACAATGGCGTCTCGAAAGGCCGAAGCGAAGCGAAGCTCCAGTGATATGAGAGGAGAGGACTGTTAAGCTTTTCTGGTACTGTGTCTCTACCTTTGTCGTTTCGTATTTTATATTATTTGTATGAATACTTTATAATATAAGCTGCATTATTAAAGAGCTTTTTAGTTTTTACCAACGAATGTCTACAAATATAAAAGCATTACCTGATTATTTTACAAAGTTAATGAACTGGATAAAATAATTAAGGATCTGATTAGTACGATAGTATTGATGTAGGTTTTTGTTTGTGCTTCTTTTTCAAATCAAATCTTGTATTTAAATGTTGGGTGTAAATGAATATGTGTACTAGTTTTTTTTTTCTTTTTTGTCAGCATGTAACGTTTGCCGACAAAAATATAAAGTTTATTATATGATTTAAGATACACCCAAAAATGTCAAACGTGTCTTTGTCTTTTGAATTTTCAGTATTAGAAAAACAAGAAAAAGAGGGGATTAAAGAATTGAAATAGTTAGATCTCTCTAATAACTTCACTTTCTCACTAAGGAAACATTATTACAAATCAAACTACAGCGTTTGACTTGACAAATAAGTATCATATATGTATGCATTAAAATAACACATCAATTTATCCCCCCAAAATTTCAATGAAGAGCAACAAGGATGAACCTTGACTGAGTTAAGACGATAAAAAAACCAAATCGTAAGGTGTTTTCTACACACAAATTTCAAGCGTTGTTACCTCCAAACTCTCTGTTCAAGTAGTCCACAAAACGTCTCTTTGCACTTTCTGCATCAGTTGGTAATGGTGGCCCGCTTAGACTCGATTGACCCATCAGTTTAACAAACGTTCTCCGAAGCCTCCTTAGCTCCGGTAGTCCAATCGGTCTGCAGATTTCTATTGGAGGGAGATCATTGCCAAGAGTAACTCTGCTTATAGCCCCACCAAGTGATTGTTGTTCCACAATCGCGTTGATGATTTCTTGTGTCGCCCTGTCCAACTCGTAAAGAGAATTCGCTTCTGAAAATCTAGCGGCCTGAGTCGCGATACTTGGTTGGAGAATTCTCACATCTTGGGTTTTGGAGTCGACAGTCTTGGTTAGATAAGTCACAGCCTCTGAAATCACAGGAGAGGATTTGCTTATTCCTTCTCGAGAAGGGTACAGCTCAAACAGAGGAGAATCCCACCGGTTTCTTCTCTCTGGTTTCTCGAATCTTCTTACCAGATCTTCAAAAATACCATCGTCATATGAAGCTTCACCTTTATCACTGCGTTCCTTATTCCATTGCCTGCAATGAGCTTCATCCACATCGCAATAAACAACACAATACCTAATCCCAGCAGCACGAGCGATACACCAAAGCTCATATCTGTAACCTTTGATACTGTTCAAGGAATCTACAATAACGATATCGCCTCTGGAAACTGATCTATCAACATCTGACCTGAGCTTTCCTCTCAGGTTCTTCTCCGCAGGCATGTTAGCATAGTTTTGGTTGCGGTCCAGATGAAACGAAGCCTCATCGATGATCCTAACATTCTGTTTGGTTTCAGACTCTCCCAGTGTTTCAGCTAAGGTTACTGCAGCTATTGACTTGCCACTACAAGGTTGCCCACAAATCACAACTAGCGCCATTGGATTTTATCACACACAAGTTACTGAACGAAGCACACTACCTACAAAATGGATTCAATATAAAACTTAAGATACAAGCTTTATGTTTATACCAATCATCCAAACTAAAGAATACGCAACGACCCAGATTCACATATAAAATTCAAATTCCAGAGAACGGATTCAAATCCCCAGAACAAGTTAAAGCATCAAAATTTATCGGTAGATACTTCCACAAGAACCAATTTCGACGAAAAGTCAAGCTAAATGAAAACGTTACCAGAGCAAAATCGGGAGTGTTGTCGACAGGTTGAAGAAAACAAAGAGTGACGATGATAATGGTCGCGTGAGAATCTAATTTGGGGATTTAGGGCTTATAATAATTTAATTGGTGCGGTTTGTTAATATGAATACCAATTTGTGTCGACGTGAATTATTTCGTTCCGGTTTATAAGATTTAGATACGAACCGAATATGCCAACACAAGTTGCTAGGCACGTTGATGGTAGTATACGGCGAGGATAATTTAGTAATTTCGAATCTCATAAAGAATTTAAATAAAGTACAGCTCATTCGATGTTGTCTCGGTATCCGAATTAAATCCGGGTTTCAAAATCGGGTCTTTCCCCTAATCGAAAATAGCACGAATTTTCAGCCCTAGCCGCGTTCGAAATATCCCCCAATTTGTTTTTTTTTTCTTTTTTCCCTACAAAATTTTCTTCGAATTCTTTGCTCAGATCCCTTCCTTATTCCAGATCGATCTTCAAATCAATTGTAATTTTCTTATTCCTCTTGATTTCTTCTTTCAATCGATACCTGTTTTGTTATCATCGCTTCCTTTTGGTCAAATCTAGGGTTTGAGTTAGATCCAGATCTAAGAACATCAGATCTGATCGATCTTTTGTTTTAGATGTTGATTTCCTTCAATAGTTTTACCGGATCTGTTCGTAATTCCAGTTTCCCCCAATTTTTATTATCCGATTTGGGGTCTCGTTGATTTCGATGTTCTAGGGTTCTTCAGATCTGTCAATTGATTGAGGAATTTTGTTTGGTTTCCTGATAATTAACCGATTCTTTGATTTTCGATTCTTGATTTGGGATTTAATCCGTGAATTGAAATCTAGGGTTAGGTTTTCTAACGAATTTGGGGTTTTTCTTTTTAAAAAAAAAAATTTATAATGGGGTTAATTTTTTTAATACTCTAATTAAATTATTTTACCGGTTAAATAGAGTTAGAGTTGTCACTTGTCAGTGTAAGTGGATAACCTTGAGGCCAAGTAACTAAGTGGCTTTGGTTCTAATTTTACAGGCCAAAAAAAATATGGGTTTCAAGCGCACTTTTGACGCTGAGGATGTGCAAGAGCTGAATGTCAAGCATGCAAGACAGATTAGTTATTGCAATAAGCTGGCCAAACTAGATGAAGGAGTTTCATATCGTGTTTCACTGGAGAAGTCAGGTTTCGTAGGTAATAATAATATGCATCTTGCAGAGTGTGAGCATGATAAACCTAAGCAGCTGGCTTGATTATTATTTGTCTAATTGTTAGCAGGAGATGATATAAGTGATCTATATGGGTATAAATGTGAGGAGAAGGGCTTTGAGATCAATGCGCCTTTCTCTTGGATCACAACCGGTTTGTGCGAGGAGGATACTCAGTCTGGAGCGACGACTCAGTCTACCCTTTCTCATGAATCTCCTGAGTCAGATATACCTTGGAGACCAGTTTGCTCAGAAGAAGATGCTTATTGGTGTCCGAGTTCTCCTAGAAAACCAGTACCAGTTGGGGCGGATTACCAGGCTGATATTCCTGAATGTGTCAAGGAAGAGGCAAGTGATCACTCCGGTCAGGCTATTGGTTATGTTGGAAAACAAGTGACGGGGAAGTGCGTAATTCCAATGCCTGACAGTGAAACCGAGATTTGCGATATTGGTAAAGGAAGAAAGGAATGCATGTGCCTGGACAAAGGTTCCATCAGATGTGTGCAGCAGCATATCATGGAAAACAGGGAAGCCTTGTTTGAAACTATTGGATACGACAGATGTCTGAATATAGGTCTTTGTGAAATGGGGGAGGAAGTTGCCGGTAAACTAACTGAAGATGAGGAAGATCTGTTTCACGAGGTTGTTTACTCCAATCCAGTTTCACTTGACCGGGATTTCTGGAAACACCTTAAGTCTGCGTTTCCGTCAAGAAGCATGAAGGAAATTGTGAGCTATTATTTCAATGTCTTTATCCTGCGAAGACGAGCTATCCAGAATCGTTCGAAAAGGCTGGATGTTGATAGTGATGATGACGAGTGGCACGTAGAGTATGACAACACCTTTTATGGTGCTGAAACTCCATCAGATGATAAAGCCGAAAAAAGCCTCTCAAGGGATGAAGAAGAAGAAGAAGAGGTTAATGTTAATGAAGATTCGAGCATGTCCAATGCAATCTACTCCCGATGTCAAGTTAGAAACAGAGAAGAATCCAGCATTGGTAACTACTGGCGCCACTGCAATGATCTTGTGGATAACTCATATTCATTTGATCCTTGTGATTCGATACTACCAGATCATTGTTGGACTAAGAGCATTGATCTGCTTCCAACTTCAAACATCATCGACGAGATCTTTGGTCAAGACCCATGGGATGATTTTTCCAGAGGGAAGTAAATGAAGAACGATCTCCATTCTCCATTCTTACTCTGCTCTCAAGTTCTGAATCTTGTGTATGTAAAATGCATTATTTAAGGAAATCTCAAGTTGGAAGTTTTCAGTGAGTCCTGTATAGTTTATGGCCCTGGAAGCTCTGTGTTTTTGATACTTTTAGGTTTTTTTTTTTATTACCTTTGCAAATCAGAATTAGATTTCGTTGTAAGAAGAAGAAAAAATCTTCAAACTGTTTAATAAACTAACATTTTGTTCATATTTTTAACACATATCTCACTTCCAATACCTACAATTTCAGTAATTAACTTCTCCAGATTTTTCTTATTTTTCTCTCTTTGTTTTCGGTAGACGTTTCCTCTATTTCCTTGTTAACGTCTTGAACATATTAGACACATAACATAAGCCTTGTCTCTGGAAACAGAGTGTTCGATTATTACAGACTTAACTGTCCCAAAATAGGGAGCAGCAGAGGACGTGACATGGCGGTGGATGAATTCTCTTTCTCCAACGCATCTCCTTTCATCTCTAAATCCCTTCAACGGTACACAAACAGAGAGAGAATCAAAAACGATTCTTTTGATCCCTTCTTAAATTACATTTTTGGATTGCCATTTTCCTTTCCCTCTACTCTGCATTTTTCTTAATCAGAATATTTCAAGAGATTTCACAGGTAATCCATTAGATTCTCTATCTCTTCTTGATTTGTAATTTTCAATCTTTTAACATTTTCATAACAAGTTGTTGATAATCTTTGATCAATCATCGTCTCATTGTTAAATAGATGTTTGGTTTTTTCAAATCTCCGGGTAACAATAAGCTTCCCAATGAATCGTCAAACAACAAAGGCGGAACAATCACTGCAGGAAGAAGGACTTCTTCAGAACCAATCCTTATAACGCCTGATTTCGACGATGACGACAAATACAAGAACGGTTTCCGCGATTCCGGTGGTCTGCAGAGCCAAACGACACAAGAGTTGGAGAACTATGCTGTTTATAAAGCCGAAGAAACAACCAAAGGTGTTAACAATTGTCTTAAAATCGCTGAAGATATAAGATCGGATGCTACAAGAACGCTCGAAATGTTGCATGAGCAAGGTGAACAGATCAACAGGACTCATGTTATGGCTGTTGATATGGATAAAGATCTCAGTCGGGTAAAGCTTTTCTTTTCCTTCTTTCTTTCTTTCTTTGATCCCCAAAACAGTATGGTGAAATATTATATGTTCTCTGTAATCTGTGTTTTATGGGGGTGTTGATAAAAAACTGTTATGTTAAATCAGGGAGAGAAGCTTCTGAACAACTTAGGAGGAATGTTTTCAAAGCCATGGAAACCAAAGAAGACTAAAAACATCTCAGGACCTATGATCACTCCAGGTTTTTATATACTTAAAACCAGAATCTTTAATGTTTTGACGCGTCCAAGCTCTTAGATTCTTGATTGGATAAAATTCTGTGTATGATGATTTTTTGTTTTTCAGTTTGAATTATTATAGAAGAATCGTTCCATACCTCGTTGACATCTCATATCATGTCAATCCTTAATGTTTTCACGCATTAGGACTCTTAATTCTTGATCATAGGATGATCATGTTTGTTCTAATGCTGTTTGCAGTTTGAAGATAAGAAGAGAAAACCAAATCTTTAACTTGTGAATAACTCATATCATCTCAAATATTTATTGATTGGATTGGATTTGATTATTCATGTGGTATGGTGGTCCTGTTTAATATAGTTATTGAACTTTTTAGATAAACCGTCCAAGAAGGGTGAGAATCACAAGGAAGAGCGAGAGAAACTCGGTTTGGGTGCGAAAGGACGATCGAGCAGCCAACCGCCAGCACAACAACCAACACAGGCACTGCAGAAAGTTGAGGTTTGTGTTCTTTTTTACAAATTCTGCAGAAATCTTGAATCTTAGAATGAAGGAAAGATGTTGAAAAATGTACTGTTTAATGCAGCAAGAGAAGGCAAAACAAGACGATGGACTTTCAGATTTGAGTGACATTTTGGGTGACCTTAAGAGCATGGCCGTTGATATGGGATCAGAGATCGACAAGTCAGATAACACAGAATACATTACATATTCATGCATTTATATAAGCATTAATTTGCATGTAGATTACTCATCATATTATGGGGAAATTGCAGGCAAAACAAGGCTCTTGATCATCTCGGCGACGATGTTGATGAGCTTAACTCTCGTGTTAAAGGAGCTAATCAACGAGCACGTCATTTGCTTTCCAAATAAGCAACCACCAGCCTTCCACAAATATTGCTCTTCTTATTTGTATATTATACTTATCTTATCTTTTTTTACTTTCCTACAGTTGAGTTTTTCTTCTTTTTCTTTGTTCATTCTTTGCTATAAAGTTGTCAAATAACAACACATTTGATACAATTGTTTTTTAAAACATTACTAAGTTTCATTTTGTTTCAAATATGCTTTAACCGAACAGAAAGTCTAGTTTTGGTATAATCAGCATTTCGATGTTCAACTGATTAGCCTCTGCAATTCTAAAGTGTTATATATATATACTCAAAACAGTACTAATTAGTAATTACAACAAAATCCCTTCGGTCTGTAACATCGTAGTGAGTAAGTGACACAAGCTCTTCAAAGAATAAGCACAAGAAGACTAGTGTATTATTAGAGTGTACAAAACTTATGTTCTCTTCCCAACAATTGTAGAGAAACATGGTTCTCACCGTGGTAAAAAAGAGATCCTATACAAATCATGCCCCTAAATAGGCTCAGTTCAATATTATGTCTCCTCGTTCTTGACTGGGATCCAACGGTTATTAGACGATTTCTTTCCCCGGGTGAAAAACCCGATAATGAACCCCAAAAACACGCCCACAAACATCAAGCCTGCTCCTTTCACATACCATAAAGCATTAGAGTCGGATTTTCCCATCAGTGTAGCGGAAGCGGGAACGGTTTTAAGACTTGGGATTTTAGTACTCTCTTTACTCCCACTGATTACTTCCCCAGAAGCTAACATCTCAACAGTATCATGAACTTCGCCATCATGGTTACCCACAAATGATACAGTGAGCTTTTCTTTGTTCGCAACTAACCGAGTGTATCCAAACTCACCTGTACGATACATTGATTGTTCAGGCTGAGGGAATATAGGAACATCTGGATGGTTTGGTCTCGGCTGCCAAATTGGTTGCCAATCTTGACCAGCCATACCGATAACAAGATGAACCGGGTTTCCTGGCCACTGTTTGCCGCAAGTGTTGTTGCTTATCGGACAAAACCTTTCGTATCTATGAACATGCCCCCATAGAGCAAGTGTGACATTGTTGTTCACAAACAGCGGTTCCAAATGCTCAACCATCTTTTGCCTAATCATAGTGTCTCTAACCTCGTTGCTCGTAGTGTACATCGGTCTGTGTCCTTGCACAACAACAAACGGCGTTTTCACCCTGTTTACAGACTCTAGATCTTGCTTTATGAATTCGTATTGACTGCCACCTTTAAGAAAATTCGTCTCTGTGGAAATATAGAGGAAATGAACCGATCCCATATCATAAGAATAATATAGATTCCTTGTCGGAGGAGCTTTTGTTCCCGTGGATTCTGAAGAATTCCCAGGCATATTGAACTTCAAACTATACGGCACACCACATTCGCCACCACCATCAGTTCCATAAATCGTAGCTGCCCAATCAGGTTTCCAAGGCTGAGTAGGGAAATCATACTCATGATTACCAATGCAAACATGGTAAGCAACTTTGGAGGCAATAGGCTCAACCTGAGCAAAGAACTCATCCCATACCCACGAGTAACCACGAGCATAACTTATATCTCCAATGTGTGAAATAAGAGCTGGCTTGTCACCAAGAGCTTCAATGTCACGGAGGATCCACTTCACTGTCGATATACTCTCATCCTGTGTGCGGATAAATGTCGTGTAAGGCGTAGCACAACCCATATCTCCAAACATGAAAGCTACGGTTTCTTCTGAGTATACATCTCGAGCAATAAAGCTACGGATCTCACTCCATCCCTTAGAATCACTCCCAACCTAATTCATAGAAGGATAAATCCATTAATCAATCCTGTAAGCAAATGTTCTTTCTTCCAAATCTATCACAAAGAGATAACCCGTATTCTCAAATAAAGAAACTCATGCATAAGCTTCAAAATCGAATTGATTTTAAGAGAACATTAGATTCGGATATGTTCATACCTGATAATAGTACCTAACGCCATTATTCAAATTCTTCATAACGGTATCAAAAATCCAACCAGGATCTCTCCACCCGATAGTCGAATTCGCCGGCGAATCACACATGTGCTCTCTCTCGTACCTCATCCCACGAGCCGCCGCAGAATTGCCTAACAAATCCTTCGCTTCTCCGTATCTCACGAAGCGTTCTTCTCCATCTCCAGCTACAAACATAACACGCATAGTGTTAACCACATTCGTGAACGACAAATGGATCTGCTCCGGCATGCCAACGCCGGATCCGAAGCTCAGCTGTTCCGATTCAGCTAGAAGATGTTTAGTTCCCGGTAAAGGATTCTGATCATGATCCTTGTGTTTCGTATCGATCTCTGATTCGCTCCACCGGAAGATCCGGAACGTGTAATTTGATCGGAGATTGGTTAAAGGAAGAGAGATCGAACCGAATCCAGATTTCCAAGTGGAAGATTCATTGAGAAACTTGTAGCCAATAAAGTGATCATTAGGAGACTCCGGCGGTGAAAAGAGGCCTAACCAATCGAGATCTGACGGAGAATCGACGCCGGACCATTGGATCACGACGGTATCACCAGATCGATTCAGAGCTTTGGGGGAAATGGAAACCGCAGCTTTGGAATAAGCAGGGGAAACGAAGACAGAGACGGAAAGGAGAAGGAAGAAAGAGAAATTTGCGATCATGGCGACGGAGTAACGCAAGAATAATTAATTGTTGCCGGAGCTGAACGCCGGAGATGAAAGATATATAAAAGGTGCTCCAAATACGACAACGTTTTAGCGTTTACTGTGACTGGTGGTGGTGGTTAGCTATTTTTAATTTTAAAACCAATATTGATCTATGACGTATCACCTTCTTAAAGATGGGTCTATCAAAGCCCAATAATATGGGCCTTATTCGGCCTATATAAAGATATCAATTAATAAGATAAAAAATACAATAGAGGAGTTTGAACTGTTTTTATTCGTGCCGGATTAGTTTAGTTTCCACTGAGAGGGGAGGAGCTTGTTGCTTTCCATGGCGATGATAAATAATACCTTCTTCTTTCTCCCACACCATTTCCACTTTGCCCAGTTTACAAAATTGATTCTTTTCTACTCTTCTTCTTAAACCCACGAAGAATTCATGGTTTCGTAAGCTCTTCGGAAAGCAAAATCGATGGCTCTGCATTTGAGTTTGAGCTTGTCTCTGATCTTCCGGATTTGCGCTCTTTTGTTGCTGATCAATGTCTCATTCTCTAAAACACTTAAACGAGACGGTAAGCTCTCTTGATTTGGTGGTGTTCCAGAATTGTGATTTTTCGCCGGATTTGGTTTTCTGACTTTTTATTGTTTTGGTAGTGAAAGCTTTGAATGAGATAAAGAGGTTAGTTGGGTGGAGAGTGGTGTACTCTTGGGTTGGAGATGATCCTTGCGGCGATAAACATTTGCCTCCGTGGTCTGGAGTCACTTGTTCCAAAGTTGACAATTACCGTGTCGTCGTCAAGCTGTAATTTTTTGACTCACCATCTTTGAAAGCTTGAGGTTTTTGCATTGTTTTCGCTTAAAATGGTTTGTTTTCTTTTCTGCAGAGAAGTGTATTCAATGTCGATAGTGGGGAATCTCCCAACGGCTGTAACGAGGCTCTTAGATCTCACTGTTCTGTAAGTTTCACTGACTTGTAATCTTGTTGAGTTCTGATGCTACTCATTTTCTGTTGAGTTGAAAACAAAACCATTGCCAAGGGTCTTGATTGTTTAAAGGAATTGGATTTGTGAATGTTTCAGAGATCTGCACAACAACAAATTGACAGGACCTATTCCTCCAGAAATTGGGCGCCTTAAGCGTCTTAAGACACTGTAATGTCCCTTCACAGTATTTTTCTTGGATCCATGATTATTATCTAAATATGTTAAGGGGTGTGTCTGAGTTTGGCTGCTTGCTTTGTTTTGATATTGTTAGGGTGTATTGTAAACAGGAATTTGAGGTGGAATAAACTTCAACATGCCCTGCCTCCTGAAATTGGTGGACTGAAGAGTCTTACATATCTGTGAGTAATCCTAGCTCATGTCAGGGATGATTGAAGGGGTTTTCTTTGAGCTCTGTAAAATACTCTCACTATTGCAGGTACTTGAGCTTTAACAATTTCAAAGGAGAAATCCCCAAAGAGCTTTCAAACCTCCATGAGCTCCAAGACCTGCATTTTCAGGAGAATCATTTTACTGGGCGGATCCCTGCGGAGTTGGGATCGTTACAAAAACTTCGCCACTTGTAATCTCTGACATTTCAAGGCTCTTTCCTGTAAACCACCCAACAGAATTCAGATATATTTAGTATCTTTGTCATGTTCTGTAGGGATGTTGGCAGCAATAACTTAGTGGGGAGTATAAGCGATCTTTTAAGCATAGAAGGATGTTTTCCAGCTCTTAGAAACCTGTAAGTGAATTTGAGAGTTAGCCATCAGAAATAATATATGGTTCCTGAGTTCACTTTTTGCTGTAGGTTTTTAAACAATAATTACTTCACTGGTGGAATCCCAAACAAGCTTGCAAATCTAACAAACCTGGAGATGTTGTGAGTATCTTATCACATCTTTTGATTTATCAACGCCATTTACATATTTTATCTCTCCCTATCTCATCCTTTTTAAGTTCAGGTACTTATCTTACAACAAAATGACTGGAGCAATACCTTCTGCACTAGCCAATATACCAGGACTAACTTACTTGTAGGCCTCTCTCCTCTACTAAATACATAACTAAAAATCGATTTGAAAGACCCATGTGCCATGCTACATCCTTAGAGCATGTTTTGAATTAACTTCAGGCACTTGGACCACAATCTATTTAGTGGAAGCATCCCTGAAGCCTTCTACAAGCATCCAAACCTAAAAGATATGTACGTCCATAACCTCTCTAAGGTCCCTTTGTAAAAGAAAATATATATCAGTATAGCACCCATATTAGAACTTAATTCTTGGCCGATGTATGTGGCAGGTACATAGAAGGGAACGCATTCAAAACAGATGTTAAGGCTATTGGTGCACATAAGGTCCTCAAACTTTCTAATATAGATATCCTTGTTTAGTTATGCATGTTACAAGTCTGTTTCAATTCAGATAGTATTTCGCAGTGTAATATGGTTCTTATGATTCATTTTCTATGCTACAGCAATAATATTGTACTTGATGTGTTTTATGAATGTAAAGATTCCTTATCCATATATGAAAATTGAATAAAGAGCAATCTGGTTTGTTCTTTTCACTGTCCTTTCGAGAAAGCAAAGAACCAAAAAGCTGAACAGGGAAAAGAAAGAAAAAGTGTTCCTAACTTTACCTGCACACCTTTATGATCCAAATATGAAACTTGGATGCAAAGCAATAATCTCAAAAACCCTTCAAAAACCAAAACCCTCAAACACATCTAACCCAAACCTTCTCAACTCCTCCCACCATATTTTATTTTGAAAATGGATACCTTGATCAAGCAGACAAGGTAAGTCACTAAATCTCCAGATTCATATTTGCTATTCACCAACACATACATATAGATAAACATATGTTGATGTAAAATGTTGACATCTTTGTCTTAGGAGGAGGCATCCAGCTTCCCAGGAAAGACATAGAGAGATTGGTAGCTCCAATAGAGAGAAAAAAGTTCCAGCAAGGAAGTCTGTTTCATTCAAAGAAGGTACCACATAATTCTACTCTACTGTTATACATATGTTGATTAGCTTATCAATTTCTGAAGCTTGATTAATTTCACATCTTCATATTTTGTGTATTGGTAGATAAGAAGAAGTCCTCAAATTGGTTACAGAAGCAGTTCTCGAGGCAAATGAGTGGCCAGAGTTATGACCCGATAGGCGACATGGATCACGTAGCTGCAGTTGCAGCCACCGCTTATGCCATAAGCACTTTTGAAGAAACATGGCTAGAGAGTTATCATGTAAGGGTTCTAATAAAGACTTTTTGTTATGGTTAATTACAGTAAGCTTTTTCTAATAAGATGAATTTGTTGTTCTTTGAAATTGTAAAACAAAACAGAATGGCATTGAACTTGGACCTTCTTTGTCAAGGAGTAAGAGCAGAAGAGAAGATGAGTTTCCTTCAGAGGAACCAAAAAGCTTATCAAGAAGATTCTCAGGTGAGTTTAAGGAAAAATTCAAGATTGAATCAACTGAAAATGTTTACGGATGTTAACATTTTAGTGTCGACACAGGACAACTTTCGTTTAAGGATTCAGAGACGAAAGATCATAAACATCCAACGCTAAAGTCCCCAATGAGAAAGTCATCTTCGGTAAAAAAGACTTTCTCCATGAACTTGAGAGAAGATCACACCAAACAAAAGGAAGACTCAGGGGAAAAACATGATAGACAAAGAAAACCGGTTTCTGAACCTCCTCGGATACAACCACCGGTCAGGACACGATCAGAACGTCGTGCTCCACCACCACCTCCTCCTCCTCCTCTTCTATCACCTTCGCCTATGCACCTTCCACCTAGGGAAATGAAAAGGCAGAGTTCTGGACATATCAGTCGAAAAGATAATTCTACAGCTGATGTTTGGGAAAAAGCTGAACTAGCTAAGATCAAAGCAAAGTAAGTCTCAGTACACGAAAACATATTTATGTGTGTTGCTTACACTCACATATGTTTTACACAAGCAGGTATGAGAAGTTAAACAGAAAGATTGATATGTGGGAAGCAAAGAAGAGGGACAAAGCTCGAAGGAAGCTGGACATATCTGAGGTTGATAATATAATGACTTTGTATCAAATCTAATGTCATGATCATTATCATATAGTTGAATGATAAATTTTGAGCTCTTTTTCACTAACTAACTTGTTGGTACATGAACAGCAGAGCGAACTAGAACAGAGGAGGAGGAAAGGTTTGCAGAGATTTAGAGACGACACAGAATACATCGAACAGATTGCAGCCGGAGCCAGAGCTCAGGCGGAGAAAGAGAGACATAGCAAAGAGTTCAAAGTGAAGGAGAAAGCCGAGGTTATCCGTAGTAACGGTGAAATCCCTGGAAAAGCATGCTGTTTCTGACACTAAAAAACAGAGGGTCTTAGATAAACAGTAGCTAATATATATGTACATATGTGTGTGTGTGAAAGATTATATGGGATTCGTTTAAAGAAAAGAAGTTATTGAAAGCCAAAGTGTATGATGTAACAGAGAGCTCTGGGCGAGCTACAAAGATACTTTGCTAACACAAAAACAACACAAGGCTCAAAAGACAATAGTACTTCCTTTCATTTGCTGTCTCTAAAACATCCCTTAAGCTTGATCAGCCCTTAACTTGTTAAGCTAATCATAGACACCTTTGAAGAACGTTTGGATGGGATAAAGTAAGAGGGCATAATCATCATGCAGCAGATGTAAGAAGTTTGTACACCCAAAAAGTTTCCATTCCACGTCAGAAGCCATGCTTTTATACAAAATTCTTACTTAAATTCTTTCAAAACTGAGACCAACGAAACCCAATGAAACACTTCCTAGTTCCAAACATGTAGTAATTGTGATTTGTCACACCAGTGATTAGTGAAGCTAAAATCGTGTTTAAAGAAGATAGATAAATGTCAAAATTGGGCCACTTAGAGCACCTCCAATGGTAAGCACCATTGGAGGGTGCTAATCAATTTTTAAAAATTAAATTTTCAAAAATAGTGCTTATGTGTTGCTTATAATCACAACTTAACCTATGGTGCTTACAATATTTTCTTTTTTTATGATTATAATCATTACATATAATGATAAGCAATGTTAAAGATACATTAAGCATCTCCATTGGAGGTGCTCTTATGATCTCGTTAAATTGTTTTATGGTACACCTGTATCGAGCTTAAAGGGCCTACCTTTAGACAGTGCTATTTTGTATTCTGTCTTTATAATAATAACTTGTAATTTACGCAACCGACAAAATCAAAGTGGATTGGAGTTATCACACTCACTCATAAAAGCTTCGACCGACAGTCTTTAATGGAGAACGATAATTCCATAAAAGATATTTATGTGATATTTTTCGTGTTTTATCATAAAGACCACCTAACAATTATGTGATCGAGAAGAGAACACCTCGTTGGTCACTGTATAATAATAGCAACTGATCACTCTAATAAAATGTTCTTTTCCGCCACGACAAGCAATGATATCACAACTTTTTAGCTAATTAGCATCAACGACCAAATATATACTTTATAAACAGTGCTAGTATTAATTATAGATATAGTAAGAGTGATTACAGGTTTTTGTATTACTGTTTCTTCTAATAAAATGGTTTGATATATTGTTATTTTATAATTTTCTCTATTAATGAAATACAATATACAGTTTAGCATTCCCGTGATCTTGTTTTATTTAAGTTTTATAGAAAAAAAGAGCATTATAGTGGATATTTTCCATATCTATGTCTATAAATAATAGACATATCCCATCTCTTCACACACTCATACTACATCCAACACACACAAAACATTAATCATTTTTGAGAAGAGAGAAAAAAAAAATGAATTTCATCTCCGATCAGGTAAAGAAACTCTCAAGCTCGAAACCAGAGGAGCCAGAACACAACAAGCCTGCAGCTGAAGGAACCGAAACAGCTACTAGACCAGCTTCCAACGCCGAGCTCATGGCGAGTGCCAAGGTTGTAGCTGAAGCTGCTCAGGCCGCAGCTCGTAACGAATCAGACAAACTCGACAAGGGTAAAGTCGCCGGAGCCTCCGCTGATATCTTAGACGCTGCCGAGAAATATGGTAAGTTCGATGAAAAGACTGGCACTGGTCAGTACCTCGACAAGGCCGAGAAGTACCTCCACGACTTCGAGTCGTCGCACTCCACCGGCGCCGGTGGTACTCCTCCTCCTGCGAGTCAGGCTGAGCCAACAAGTCAGACTGAGCCGCCGCCGGCAGCTAAGAAAGACGATGAAGAGTCTGGTGGTGGGATTGGAGGCTATGCCAAGATGGCTCAAGGTTTCCTCAAGTGATTTGATCTTTAATTGTCGTTTCATTTTCGTAATAATAAATTATGATAACTTTTTAAGTATGGTTTATGTATGTTGCATTGTTTGCGTTAGTATGGGGAGTGAGTGACGAGCGGTTGTAATAAAAATTCAGGTGATCATAATCTAATCCATCTTTGTTGTGTTTATGTTTCGTTTTTTCCATTAAAAAAAAAGTTGTTTCTATGTTAAAGTAGTGTTTCAATTCCTAATTCACACTACCAATTAACAGAGACAGGTGAGATTTGGTATTGTTCCTAGTTTTCCTAAGATCATACAACCTCAGAGAAATGGACTTTAAGAAACAGAGAGAATAATTACTTGCGATTACAGGACACTGATTTATCTCAATCTAAAATTTGTTCATTAATTTCATAAAACAAACGCTTAGAGTTATCAACAACCTCTCTGAATCTAGACATGAACTCTTAAACATCTCTCTCCCAGGCACAACTTGTTACTTCCCTGTCTCCCCAAAACACAGAATCTCTCTTTCAATTAACAGTCCAACCAATCTCTGTCCATAATCTCCATTAAACGCTGAGCTTGTGGAGCATGGTACCAAGGAATCTTCTTCCATGGATAAGCTTGGTTTTTTTATAATGATCACTGTCGTAAAATGGACATTTCACTTCAAGCACACCACTTGAACTTAACCCTTCTTTAACCACCTGAATGTTCTTCTTCTTCTTTGAAGACAACTACGTACGAATTGAGGTAAAAGAAATTCATGTCCTGTTAGTTCATGGTACAGTATTGAGTGCTTCAAACTCTTTGATCTTGGTCCAGCATGTTTTACTGCATTTCCTGAAAATGGCTCCATTTTTTTTTGTTCCAACCAAAGTTGAACTCTACTGTTAGGCCAAAACCCAATGGCTTATGCAAATACCCAATGTATTTTTATGCCAATGTTGCAACTTTGTTGGGCCATATATTTGGAAGTAACCGAAATAGGCCCATTAGATTATATATTGAACTGGACCACTAAAATTAAACAATAAGAAAGTGGTCAAAGGAATAAAATATCTTCATGTATTCACCAATCTAAAAGAAAAAAATTAGTCGATGAAAAATCTCTATCACAAACGGTTCTCTTATAACTCTCTCTCTCTCTTTCTCTATACGACAACATTTTGCAAAGAATCGTACTCGGACAGTAATAATCTCATTGTCACATTCCCAAAGTCCCATCATCATTGTCACGTGAAAGGCGCGTGTGATGATGGACGTTGGTTACTTGCAGTTACAGTTGCAGTTGAAGGACACCGTTGTCTTCTAGGCCTTCTTGTCATCTTACCCCAACCTGCAAAACTTCTATCTTCTAAACTCATTTCAGTCTCACCATTGTTGTTTTGATTGCACACATGTTGTTGAACCGAGGGAGCAGGAGCAGGAGCTGGAACTGGAGCTGGAGCTGGAACAGGGCAATAGACCGGTTCAGCAGGGATTGTTATGACTCGTCGTGGTCTTCCTCTTGCACCCGTTTTCTTCCTTGTTAAACCGGTTGGAGTCCAGGAGCTTCCTGTTGCTCTCATGAACCCATCAAACATTTGAATGTCTTCTGTTACTTCATGTTTTGAAAGAGACAGAAGTCCAGGGAGAATGTCTCTTTGGAAGTCTCGTCTCTGTTTTCCTTTTCTCGCATTTCCTCTTCTCGGTCTTTGGCTCGTGACCAGCGCGGTTCCAGAGGTTTCCTCCAATTTGAGGTCTTCAGGAACCAATGGCTTAGGCATATACTCTTCTTCTGAGATCTCAGGTAGTTGCAGGGTCATTGACTCAAAGTAATCAATCTCTTCTATAGAACGTGCTTGATTCCTCGAGAAAGTATCGAGCTTTTTGTCCAGATTCTCTTTGTGAGTATTTACTGTTTCTGCAAACCAGTGAAGGATGATGGTTTCAGAGACTTCCGGCGAAGTAGCATCTTCAAGCTCTCTATCTAGGCAAGCTGAAGAGATGGCAACGATTGCTTCAGCTGCTAATTCTTCAAACTCAGGTGGTTTCTCTAAAGTTTTTTCCTCAATTGGGGTTTCTTCTGATGGCTTTTCTCCAGGGATGTTATCATCTTCTTCTTCATCATCAGACTCAGGAACAGCTTCCAAATCTATCATAGTCTTCGAATTCAGTCTGGAACTGGCAGGAAGAGAGCAATTTTCGCCTTCATCATCACTAACCAACATGTTCAAATCAATCTGACACCTATTACTAACTGGAACCTTTGTCCCGATCTGTTCCTCTGTTTGCTGATCTTCATCCCAAAGAGGATCACACGGTTCGTTCATGTCTAGCATCCTACAGTTATGGACTTTACCTTTTTCTGCATTGGATTGATCTTTATAAGCAGATCCAGGAAATTCCAAGTTAGCAGTAAACTTCTCAGTCTCCGGATTATTGGAACATGAACCAGACTTTAACCTCTCTAGCCACATCATATTCTGAGCTTTGTCTCTTGCCTCATCTTTGATATCCAATGGTTTCAAAGTAGAACTCAGAACAGCATCATCATTACTCTTCAGATTCCATTTCCCATCAGCCATCTCAGAGTTACAAACATACTTGGGTTTATTAAGCCATGGTAAAGTAGCTACGCGTTCTTCATCCTTTCTGACTTCAACAACAGAAGTATTTGAAAGTGTCACATTTAAATTCAAATCTCTCACAAACTTCATCTCCGAGCTGTAGTCACTTCTTCCTCCGTTAGGATAATTAAAGCCAGTCTCACCGAATTTCGACTTTGATGAAGAGGAACATTCATTGTAAAACATGTTTTGGTTTAACCGACTGGAATTCCCGCACCCCGAGTTTAATCTAGAATTGCTTTCATACTGCAATCTGTCTCCAAGAAACCCTTGTTTCTGAGCATTTCCACTCACTGTGTCAGACAAGTTTAGAACCGGATATCTCTGTGCTGAAGCAACTTTCTGAGAAAACCCAAAACTAGGATTTTGCCAAGAAGAGTGCAAATGGTTCCACGAAACAGCAGAATCTGGAGGATTAAACGGATACAAGTGGCGTTGTTGGTGAGAAACTAAACTTGACTCCACATGATTTTGATGAATGATGGCTTCATGACTACTATTGGTTTCAGTATCAGCCTCTAGGTCAATAAACGTTCTTTCTCTCCAGAACATTGCCTTACTTGGTGGACCAGAATGAGGTACACTCATAACTCTTTGTGAACTGTTCAAGAGAACTTGCATATGCTGAGACGATGAATCAAGAGGCTTGGCCGCTTGAAAAAATGGAGCAGAAGAATTGTGTGTGCCAGTATAATGATCTGCATACGGTGGATTTTACATTAAAACATTGGTAAAGAAAGAAACATGTGTAACAACAACCGCAATTACAGCATGATGGATCATCTTACCATTTCTTAAGGGTTGATGTGGCCAAACTTTTCGTCTACCGTTCTCATCAGAATGCAGAGAGTTAACAGGAACATGCTCCCTTACACTACCCGAGTTTAGAGATGATTTTCCGTCGTCGCGAATATGGCTTTGAAACTCACCATTACGCAAGTCACGGGGATAGCCATAAGCAAATTCGTTTGTTTCTTGAGCACTAATTGGTTCATTTAAGTCAGCCAAACCATTGCTTCTACTCGACCCATAGCCAATTCTCAACCCATCTCCGCGAGATTCAGTCTTGACAGCTCCATTAGGAAGCTGACTGGAGGTGCTGCAAACCCTGTGATCTTTTAGCTCCACAACTTCGTCATTGTCATCAATGTACTCATCAGCTGGAAGACAAAGATCTATCATCTTTCTTCTGATTTTCGTCGGTCTAACTTCTGACAATTCAACATTCTTGGAACTAGCTCCATTTTGCCATGAAACTGGGCCAACAACCCCTTGAGAATTGCTTCCTTTCATGGGAGAATGGCCATTATCCTCAACGACCGACACGGATGGCCTATCGTAAACCGAGTTTGCCAAAGGGAAACTAGGGATTTTCCATTTACGGGGATCAACATTAGTAGCTTGAGATGAAAAAGACGCGTCAACCGGAACCCATTCTTTATTCAACTGTTTCCTTTTCAGTTCTTCCATCATATCCTTTTGTATCCTGTACACCCGGTGAAGTTCCAAAACCTGGTTAAAGGATCAAAGTTGACAAAAATACAATCAACAAAAAAAGCTGACAATGCAAGAGAAACAGAGAAAGATCACAGAGAAAATCTTAAAGTAAGTAAGTAAGTAACCTGTGTCTTAAAAACAGCTTCGTGCTCGAGCATAGTCCTTCTCACCAAATCTTTGTCATAACCAAATGAAGTCTGAGAGGGGTAGAATTGATCATTAGCTGGAGAGGTTTTACTGTCACCGTAGAACAATGGCCATCTACAACCGTTAGACTCTTTGTTGAGATCTCCCATAGAGTGATGATATCCACCAAATAAGCCTTCACAGTGCACCTTTGTTCCCATTCCTGCTCACGAAAAATCTAAACCTCAGTCTCGGCCAAGAGAGATAGAACAAATCTAATTCAAAAGAAACTAAATTTGCCCACAAATCCTAACAATCATCACATTCCCTTTGGGGAGGGGGAAAGAACAACCCCATGAGCTCAATCTATCTAAGTACAATCTCCACAAACCCCATTTCAGAGTAGCTTCAAATTCATCAAAAGTCAAACAGTAAACCACACAAAGCAAATTGCAAAAGTGATAACACTAGCAAAGGGTTTTGACTCAAACGGATGAGAACTCTAACGCCGACGAGTCAAAATAGGATCTTGAGCAATTAAAAAAATCTAAAGTTAGATAACAAAGAATCTGCAAGATATTAGGACAAAGATTGTACCAAATTGAGATAAAAGAGAAATGCTTTAAATCTAGTAGTGAAAAATTAAGGAGATGAAATTGGGAATCCCAAACTCCAAATCATAAGAGCAAAAACAAATAAAAACCCCAATTAAATAAATAAAAATAAAAAGAGATTTTTATTTACCTCAAAGCCACATCCTCTTATCGCCAAGCTCGTCTCGAGACTTTGTCGGAACAAGGAATTAAATAAAAATCTCAGAATCAGAAAGGCAAAAAAGTAAGAAAAATTTCCGAATCTCTCTCTCTATCTCTAGAGAGTAAATGGGAGGAGGATTGAAAGAGAAGAAAAAAGAGAAAAGGGGAATAAGAGTTATAGCGTAAACACCATTAATGGAAAAAATTAGATCGTCATCTTCGATCTACTGGGCCACTCT